GTTGGAAACGTAGAGAAGCCCCAAACATATGGCTGGTGTTCCACCATGGGGCACTTGCTGGAGTGATGCCCCTGCTGGGGTAATGCTGGAAGCTAAAAAACTGAGATGGAGCCTTTTAAAGGCTTAGTTAAACCTCTCATAGTCCTTAGGGACAAAGTCCTGCTAGCAGGAAGGACTTTTCACAAACACGCAATTAATCTACCCTCAAGACATGCTATTTTATGAATCTGTATGGCGCAGGAGGATAATGATCTAAATTAAAAACCTCCAGGGGCTGACTTGACTCTCCATTTTTCTCAGCTGAGGAGACAGATCTTCTAGGCTCTTAGTCAAAAGCCTGAAAACACATGAAGCATAGATGTACTGATTCTACAAAATTGCACCCTGGCTCAATTTCTGATTGAATTGAGGTAATCAGTCCCCAAATCTCTCTGCCTAGCAGAGGAATGAGGATCTTTCTCTGATAACTATCATTTGTAGTATCTATGGTTCTTGTAATAATGATGCTTGGCATACAACAAAAAATAACTAAAATGCAAGAAAAATATGACAAATAAGAGAAAACATAGAAGCAGACCCCTAGATAATCTAGATAATGGATTTAACAAACAAGAAGTTTAACTATGATTAGTGTATTAAATAAAATAGAGAAAAGATGGACAAAATGGATAAAAAGATGGAGAATGTCAATAGAATATTAGAATCTATGAAAAGAATAAAGTGAATAACCTAGAACTAAAAGATGCCATATCTGAAATTAACTTATTTGGATGGATTGAACAATGTACTGGACACAGCAGCAGTCAGAACTAGAGAATAGGTCAATAGAAAATATCCAAACTGAAGCACAGAGAGAAATAAGTATGGAAAAACAAAGCAGATGATAAAAGACATTTGGGACATAGTCAAGGGTAAATAAAATAGGAATCTCAGAAAGAGAGAACAGGGTAGAAGTAACATTTGGAGAGGATAGTGTCTAGAATTTTCCCAAATGGATGAAAGACATCAACCCACACATTTAGGAAGCTCAGTGAAACACCAAGGGGAATAGATACAAAGAAAACTACACCCTGGATATATTATGCTCAAAGTATTGAAAATGAAAGACAAAGAAATTCTTTAATCAGAATAAAAAAGGACATACTAGTTTCAGAAGCACATTAATAAGACTAATGGCTGACTTTTCTATAGAAACTATGGAACCAAAAGACAATAGAATTACATCCCTGAGGTGCTGAAAATCAAAAGTAAAAAAACTCTACCATCCTAGAATTATATTCCAGTGACTATATACTTTCAGGTTAAAGACTTTTCAGACAAAATCTGAGAAAATTACTAGAAGACAAGCTTTACAGAAAATACTAAACGTTCTACAGACTGAAGGAAAATGATCCTGGAAGAAAGCATGAAATGACAGAAAGAATGAAAAGCACCAGAATGGTATGGGAATATATAAAAGAATGTTGACTATTTAAAACAATAATATAATAATGCCATGTGGGGTTATTAACATACATAGAAATAAAATGTGACAATATTAGCCCAAAGATCGGGATTGGCTGTTAAACTGCTATAAGGTTCATTCAGACAGTGCTAGACTCTAATAAGTCAAAGATACATATTGAAGTCTCTAGTTTTTCCCCCAACCCCAGTGGGGAAAAAAGAATGTATATTTTAAAAGCTAATAGTACAACTAATAAATACAGAATAGAGTAGAAAATCACCATTTTGCAACCATCTCAATAGTAATTAATTCAAGCAAGAATCATTAATGGATGCTAAAGCAGATGAAGGAAAGTTTGATGAGAACAGTATATTTACATGGCCTCAGAGTTTTTTCCCCACAAATTACTGATACACTGAGAGGACACTAGATTACCTAGTTAATATTCCTGCCAAAAAATAATCTAAATCTAATCATGAGGAAGTATTCTACATTGAGGAATGTTCTACAAAATACCTGTCCTGTACTTTTCAAAAATGTCAAAGCCATGAAAGAACTGGGAAATCTAAACTCAACCAAAAAGGAAATAAGAACTTGAGTGGAATGATTAGAAAAGTGATAGCGTTAGAAGTCTGGATGAGATCAGAGAATTGCAGGAGTCAGTAAGGATAGAAGGTGATTATATCAGGGAACAGGATATTTGAAATCAGATGTTTGGATGTGGTACAGTTACTGGTGATGACAATAACTTGGAGATGACCATATGATTTGATAGTTGAGACAGAAAAGACAACTGGAACTAACATAGTCATTTAGAAATCAGGGTGTTAAATCAACTGTGTGCAAGTTAAAGTTACCAGGAATGATCAACAGGAATGATAGATGCTAAAATCATCAATGCATAAAAGGAGTGATGGGAATATCTGAACACAGTCCTTTAAATGAGAGCAAGAGGTTTGAATATATATGCACATCAGTAACCCAAGAAGATAAGCATGGAAGTAGCCAACCACACATTGGCTTTTGGAGTTATGGTGCCTAACAATGTTTTAAAAGATTGTCCCCAACAGCTTGGTCCATGCTAAGGAGTGTTGCAGCTGTCTCTGTGCTGGTACGAGGGTGGCTGAGTAAACCAGGGGATGACAAAAGGGAAGAGAGATGACTTAAAATCAAGCTTGTGTGTCTACAGTGATGGAAACATCTTCAGTAGAGAGCACTGCAGATGCATTAGTTTCTAAGGGAGCGTATGAGCTTGCTTTTGAGTATTCTGTTGCCTTTTTCTCACTTGTATGTCTTAAATTTAGACTTAACTACTAACATGTTTATTTTGCATCTTCAAAAATGGTTGAAATTTGAAGAGAATTCATTATAGATTAGAGAACTAAAACATTTGCCCCTGTTAATAAGACTTTTTCTGAACTGTTTAGTCTCACAAAGATGAATTTTATGTTCTACCAAATAGGTGAACATTTTCAGTAATTTGTGATCTTTCACAAAATGAAAATTATTGGAAAGTAAATATTTTCTTTCCCACTTCAAGATAATCAGAGAAGAGAGAACTTGCCATGTTACCAGACAATGGAATATTTTGTTGCATAATATACACAATTAAGTCTGGCACTGCGGCACCTTCCATATAAATGGATGCTGAAATGAGAAAATGAGACATACTGAGTATGTCTGAGTATGACATAATGAGACATGAGTATGTCTATGCAACTCTTGTAACAATAATCTTTCTCCTAAAGGCTTCCCACACTTTTCTTCTTTTCAAATAAAAAATAAGCACTATTTGAGAACTGGTAGGCCTTTATTCCCATTTTACTAGAAAGGAAACAAAGAACATGAACAATTTACCTATTAGTCAGAAAAACAGTGTTCTATAACTCAAAACAAGTGTTTACTCACTAAGAGCTATAAATTACTGCAGATTTCAGTGGGATTTTTAGCAGTAAATAAATTACTAAACTCCTTACAGAACATTCAAGGCATATAAAAGTGTGTTTCTACACAGCATAACTGTAATGTAACCAATGGTTTACAATTCAAATACCAAAGCTGCAAACCATTTAGGGGATCACAAATTACATATTTGTACACGCTCAAAAAGATTTCAGCTGGGATAATTTATTTTCAAAGCATGACTGCTTTTAAATGATCATATCCATTAGCCTGCCATCTAGAAAGCATTAAGCGTTTATTTGTAGAATGAACAAATGAGCAAGTTTTCTGATGTTATGAAGTACAATATGGTCCTTCATTTAAGTATATTTCCTTTAATTTATTCACAGAATATCAGGCTCATTTTCTATGACTGCTTGCACTTAGAATTTATCATCACGGAGTAGGAGTTCTCTAACATTGTAATAATAGACCAAGTGAGGCCCACTTCCAGCCGTAAGTGTCAGCTGGGGGAGTACTTAGTACTTTCAAAGTTGTTTGAGAGAGAGGCACAGGATCATTTCACCGGCGTTCGGGAGAAAGGAGAAACAGCCTCCTCTCACCTTATTAAAAATAGAGATTTTTTAAAAAAAATCTCCAGTATATTTCTTTGAACTAGGGAATCCCAAGAGGAAGTGGCCATAGGCGGAGAATCCTTCTGGGTTTCGTTCGAGCGCGTTCCCTCTCCAGGTGGCCCACTGCGTTCCCGGATGGGCTCCGCTGTGAGAGAAGCCTTTCTCCTGAGCCAAAGCCTGCCCCCACCCGTCCTGTCGGCCTCGCCGCTCCGGAGCTCCGGGCAGTCGCCACCTCCTCCTCCAGCCAGTCAGGCCGCACCGGCGCGGCGGAGCCTTCTCCTCCTCCTCCTCCCCGGCGACGCGCCCCCACGGGAGCCCCGGGGCGAGCGGCGCTTCCATTCACTCCGCCAAAGCTCCGCCGCGGCGCCGCCTGCACGCACGTCCGAAGGCGCGTCGCGGAGATGCTGGGGCCCCTGGTGAGTGCGCGTCGCCAGTGACAGGCTGTTTCGGTCCCGGAGGCGACGCGTGCGAAGGGCCGCTCGGGGACCGGGGGCGCGGTCGGCGGAGGACGCCGCCGGGGCGTCTCGCGCTAAGGCCGGGGGCCGGGGCCGGTGCCGGGCGCGGCGGGGGCGGGCGGATGACGAGGCGCGGGGGCGTGCGTCTGCGAGGCGGCGGGTCCGAGCGGCGCCGGCACGGCGGGCTCCGCGGGCTCCTCGCAGGCGGGCGCGGGCATGGCGCGCCCGGGGGTAAGCGGCGCGGCGGCGTCACGGGCACTCGCAGCCAGCCGCGCAGCAGCCCGGCAGGCACACGCACACGTGCACGCGCGCCCCGCACCCGCCCCAAGCACGCCCCCCGGCTCGGGGCGGTGGCGGCGGCCGGGGCGCCGCGGGCCGGCGCCGAGCGGCCGGGTCCCGCGGGCGGCGGGCCGGCGGGGAGGCGCTCGGGGCCCGTCCGCGCGCACCCATCCTCCGGGCCGGCGCCGGGCTGCGAGGCGATGGGAGGCGGCCGCCGCTCCAGACGCCGCGGCGGGACCGGGGCGCGGGCGCGGGCGGGGTCCTCCGGCGCGCGGGCGCTGAGCGCGGCCTGTCCCGCAGGTCTGGATGCTGGTGGCCGGCTTCCTGCTGGCGCTGCCGCCCGGCGGGCCGCGGGCGCCCTGAGGGCGGGCAGGCGCCCGGCGCGGCCGCGGGGCTGCGCGGACCGGCCCGAGGAGCTCCTGGAGCAGCTGTACGGGCGGCTGGCGGCCGGCGTGCTCGGCGCCTTCCACCACACGCTGCAGCTGGGGCCGCGCGAGCAGGCGCGCAACGCGAGCTGCCCGGCAGGGGGCAGGCCCGCCGACCGCCGCTTCCGGCCGCCCACCAACCTGCGCAGCGTGTCGCCCTGGGCCTACAGGTGAGCGGGGCGCGCGGGCCGCGGGAGGGCGGGGCAGGAGGTGGGCGGGGCGACGCGGGGAGGTGGGCGGGGCGAGCCGGGGCGGGGCGGCCTGGTGGGCGGGTAGCAGTGTGAGGGGGCGGGTAGCAGTGTGAGGGGGCGGGGCGGGTGGGTGGAGAGCCTGAGCTGGGAGTTGGGGGCCGCTGGTGACCCAAAGGTCACCTCCATGACCCCCCTGAAGGACTGCTGCTCCCCTTCCGTTATCTCAGGGCGCCGACGTCGGGAGCACCCATTCTCTGGCGGGCCAGGTGGCCCACACGGGCTCCGGCCAAGGGATCTTGTAGTATTCCTGCGGCGTCTCGCCCGACGCCCGCGGAGGTCTGCCGCGCTCTGGGCGGCACGCGCTCGTGGGCGGCAGCGCCGTTGTCGGGCGCCGTGTGGCCAGAGCGTGCGGGGCACGGAGCGGGGAGCAAGCCCTCTGAGCCTGCGTGGCTTCCGGGCCAGGGGAGGAGTGGGATACTTGGCAAGGAAACTAATGCCAGGCGGAACGCGGCGGGCGAAGTTCCAGTGTGTGGTGGCTGAAAGCTGGGGTGGGAGGTAGCGTTCCGGAGGCACGAGATGGCGTTCGAAATGCGCTGTGGCCAATGGGCGGCGGAGAGGTCCCTTCAGAGGAAAGGACCCGCCCGCCAGCAGGGACGGTTGGGAGTGTCCTCAGCAGGCGCACTGCCCGTCCCTGCGCCTGAGGGAAGGGCGCAGGCTAGCAGGGGCACCTGAGGAGCCAGCCGGCTACCTCAGAGAGTCAAGGACAAGGGCAGTCCTGAGGGAAGGGACAGCTTATGGCACGGGAAGGAAGCCGGGTGTTTGCCTGTGGTGAGGGGGTGAGCCCAGGCTGGAGGCAAGCCCAGGAGCTGATCAGGGCCTCGTCTGGTCTGCGGTGCTCACAGTTTATCCAGTGGATGCTTTTTGATCCAGGAAGCTGTGTGAGGCCACTTTGCATTTGGGGAGGGTGTTTGGGATGGGGGATGGGCTGGATCGTGCAGTGTTCGGAGAGACGGTCTCAACCCAGCCTCGACTCAGGCGGTGCTGTGGAGAAAGGGGGCTCCGCTCAGTGTGAAAGATACGAATTAAAGAAGTACAGGGTTTTTTTTTCACTCTTTAAATACTTCACTTAGGATAATGGTCTCCAGTTCCATCCAAATTGTTGCAAAAGACCGCAGTCCCCAACCTTTTTGGCACCAGGGACCAGTATTCAAGGAAGACAGTTTTCCCAAGGACAGGGGGTGGGCACTTGGGGCTGGAGCTCAGGCGGTGATACGAGCGATGGGGAGCGGCCAATATACAGATGAAGTTTCACTCACTGCTCACCTCTTGCTGTGTGCCTGGTTCCTAAGTTTCACAGAAGACAGTTTTTTGAAAGGGAGGGGCTGGGGCTCTGCGTCCTGGTCCTTAACAGTCTGCATGCCGGGGGTTGGGGACCACAGGCAAAAGGCATTGTCATCATCCTTTGTGGCTGAGTAGAATTCCATGGTATACATATGCCACATTTTGTTAATCCACTCATAAATTGATGGGCAGTATCATAAAAGCAATCTGTGTAAACAAAACAAAACAAAAAAGTATACTATAATTAAGAATTTTACTTTATTTGTTAAGCAAGCTTTCAGGGACTGCATTAAATCCCCTACTCTTGTTTTTTTTTTTTTTAAAAAAAAGTAGTACAAGGCCAGCACGGTGGCTCACACCTGTCATCCTAGCACTCTGGGAGGCTGAGGTGGGATGATCGCTTGAGCTCAGGAGTTCGAGACCAGCCTGAGCAAGAGCGAGACCCTGTTTCTACAAAAGTTGCAGTGAGCTATGATGACGCCACTGCACTCTAGCTGGGGTGACGAGACCCTGTCTCAAGAAAAAAAAAAAAAAAGACAGGGACAGGATTTAGCGGGTGACTGATTCTGTGTTGGAGCGAGGGAAGAGGGACACAAAACAACAAAACATGTCATGGGTCAAAGCTTTAGCCACACTGCTAAAGGGACAGTCAGAGAAAGTGCACAGATTCTGCCTAAAATTCATCTGGGCTCCCCTAAGGCTCCAGCTTTGGCTGTGAGTAAAGGGTTTCCTTCTCCTCAGTGCCAGGCCTGCCCTGCGAGCAGACGCCTAGGGCCTCCCTCCACGTGGCCACTCTGCAGAGGACTGGGTTTGACGTGGCTGAGCCCTCAAAGCCCCGGCCACGGGCATGTCAGGCTCGGACCCCTCCTGCCCCTCTCGCTCCTCTCCTTCAGCTGGTGCCTCAGGACACACCGTGGGACTCTTCATCCTGGTGGCTTCATTCTCTTGCTCTTCCTCCCTCTTCACACCATTCCCAGGACCCCAGAGCGTGGGCCGTGGTATCGTCCTCCTTCCTCCCACCTCCTGGTGTGCCTCTGACGCGCTACGGAGCATGAAAGCTCTCGGGACTCTCAGGACTACAGTCTGGCCTCCCTGGACAGAAGCTGCTCCTGATCTCTCTGTAGCAAAATCTCACCTCTCCGGACAGGTCCAGGCGTCACCCCCCCCCCCCCCCCCCCCCCCCCCCCCCCCGCTAGAGCGAGAGCGGAGGCACAGAGTGCCACACAGCAGTGAGCTCCAGGCCCCCATTGTGCGTGTCTCCCGTGTTTCTGGCATGGTCGTTGAGATGGCAGTTAAGCAAAATGGGGAAAGAGAATTGGGTGCAGGTGTGTGGAAGGGGAGACTGAGTTGTTACAGTATGGAGCCTGCTGAGAGGCTACAGGTGATAGAGACCGGCCGCCCATGGAAGTGGGAGTGAGAGCTCAGGACAGTGCGGGCTGGAGGGCACATGGGAGCTGCAGCAGGAGGTTTAAGTGAGTTTCCTTTGCTGCAGACTGACACCTGTGCTCCCCAGGCAGGACCTGGGAGCCGCAGGCAGAGGGAGTGACAGAGGGAGGTTACAGAGGAGAAGGACATGCAGGGTTGGGGTCAGGGGGCACCCAGTCTGGGCTGCCCGGCTCTGCCAGGTGTGGAGCCACCGTGCTGGGTGGGCCCAGGAGCAGCAGCTGCAGCTGCATCAGGTGGCTTAAGGTGTCATGTGTGTCATTTCTCATATTGTTTAGCAATATGAGTGATGAGATTGCTCCCTGTAGGCAAACGGAGGCCGGGTGGCTTGCACTCCCTGAAGGAAAGACGGCCTTCAGGGGACAGGTGCTGGGCCAGGACTCCAGACCACTGGCCACTGAAGCCGGCCCTGCCTCGTCTCTTGCCAGGAGATCCCTCGCTGCCCTCGTCCCCTCATCCCTCTGATCACCCCTCACCACCTCCTGGGTTATTGGAAAGATTAGAAAAAGCGAGGCCCGTGGAAACGCAGCCCGGGTGGAAGAGCGCTCACCACCAGGCTGGCCAGCGCAGGGTTCAGGTGCCGTTTCCGAAGGCACGACAGTCACGGGCTCTGGGCAGGATGGACGGGAAATGGGTGGCAGGGGAGGAGTGCTGCCGGCACAGAGCATCACTGTAGGTGGATGAGGTAGGCTTTCCAGTCGACAATGGGATATGTAGGCTGTCCACATCTCGGGGGGAAGAGTTGGATCATTCAGTACATGGTGTTGGAACAGCCTCGACCTCACTCCTATATGAAAATAAATTCCAGATGATTTAAAGGTTTAAATGTAAAAAATAAAACCACAAAACCAGAGAGAAACACAAGCAATGATATTTATAATCTTGGAGTGGAGGAGGCCTATTTAGCAACTCACAGTCCCCAAAAGTCATAAAAGACAAGATCGAGAAATGCAATTATGTAATTATACACCATTTCTTCTTGGCAAAATCAGGAAAATACAAGAGCAGACTGGGAAACAATGTTTGCAACTCCTGTCACAAAGGGTTCAGGGCTCATTTCCTAAAGAGCTCCTACAAACCAGTCAGAAAAAGTGTTGGAAAGATGAGCTAAAGTCAGGGACCTTTTCCGGGAAAGGTCAAGTGACTCAGATGCTTGACAGGTGACGAGACGCTAAAGGCATAAGCGAAATGTGTGTTAAGACTCTACTGAACACCCCCCCCCCCTTTTTTGGCATCTAGCAGTCTAGGGCAAAGGTGTGAGGGAAAAGGCATTTTCAACCAGTAGAGGGGTGTGAATCAGCATAACTTTTATGGAGGGCAATTGGGTGTTTTTTTGTTTGGTTTTTTTTTTTTGAGACAGAGTCTCACTCTGTTGCCTGGGCTAGAGTGCCATGGTGTAAGCCTAGCTCACAGCAACCTCAAACTCCTGGGCTCAAGCGATCCTACTGCCTCAGCCTCCCAAGTAGCTGGGACTACAGGCATGCACCACCATGCCCGGCTAATTTTTTCTATATATTTTAGTTGGCCAATTAATTTCTTTCTATTTTTAGTAGAGACGGGGTCTCGCTCTTGCTCAGGCTGGTTTCGAACTCCTGACCTTGAGCGATCCACCTGCCTCAGCCTCCCAGAGAGCTAGGATTACAGGCGTGAGCCACCGTGCCTGGCAGGCAATTAGGTATTGACTGTCAAAATTCTAAGTTCACATACCTTTTGACCCAGCACATCCTCTCACCAGTATTTCTTCTACAGACACTTGCCCATGTGCCAAATGGGATGTGTATCAGGATATGTGCCCATTGCTGTGACAGCCAGGGATCGGGAGCCGCCCGAACACCCACCAACAGGCAGTGCGGTGGACAAAACACACAGCTGTGAGGGCAGTGAGGCAGCTCTGCAGGCACCCGAGTAGATCAGTCACCAACGGAAACGGAAGGTGTGTGCAGCAGGCTGCCATTTCTGTGCTAGAGAGAAACGATGACATGATTACATATGATAACATGGTATTTTAAATGTCTACACATGTGCGCACATGGACAACTTTGGAACGTGGTTATCGTGGCGCCTTCTGTGTCGGGGTCTGGGAGGCTGGGATGGGGTTGGGGAGGGGACCTACTTTTCACTCTTGTATCTTTTGAGTTTTCTGCCCTGTGCATGTATTACTTTTTTCAAAGACATGTTAATTTTTAAGTTGAAAGCAGACAGCGAAATCCCCCAACAATGAGAAAAGGCAGCTGCTGAAGAAATGAAGCTTCCGCTTGTAACAGCAGCCACGGACACACCAGGAGCACAGGTGTGAAGGGGACCGCTTGCTCTGAAAGGCCGTCAGACGTCCAGAAGAGGCCGCGTAGACCTCTGGGCGGCGTGTTCAGAGCCCCCCTGACTCTGCAGCACACTGGGCCACAGGCGAAGAGCCCCGGCCTGGAGAGATCATGGCACTGGCCTGGGTGACTGGCAGAAAGTGGCAGAGTCAGGATGTAATCTCGGGCCTCCCTGACGCTGGCTGGCCTCGCTCCAGCCCAGTGTGCCGTTAGAAAAGCAACATTCACCTTCCAGAATATAAAAATATTTTCTCATTTACTTTGTGGCATAATGTTTGTTTCTCTTTAGTTTTAAAAACAAAAATGCCAAAAATAAAATCAATTGGATTGCTTAGTAAGTTTTTTAAAGCCAAATTGATATATTAAGAAATTTATTGTAAGAACGGAGGTTTATTAAAGTTTCAAGATACACAGCACTCATTTTTGATGAAACCTCAAAGATAAACACCTACCAGAACTCTAAAATAATAATCTTTAATGGTTTATATTTTTCAGTTTTTGGTCACAGTCAAAGGATAAATTTAGGATGTGAATAGTGCACAAAATTCTCTTTTTAGGCTTTCTTGGTTACTTTTTTATTTAACTCTTTTCTGCCACAGAATTTAAGAGGCTATACCTCAGTTTATTTTGCAATAAACAGCTCCATGGATAGCTGTGAGGACAAGGGTGCAAATGGCAAGGATGTCAAAGAAACAGGATGGGGTGGCTTCTTTCGTTTTCTGCTGCTGTGACAGAAAGCCACAGATGGGGCAAATTATAAAGAACAGAAATGTGTTTGGCTCACAGCCGTGGAGGCTGGAAAGTCCGAGAGTGAGGGTCGCCCCGGGCTGGAAGGCAAAAGGTCACAGTGAGTGCAAGAGACAGAGAGGGGACGGGACAGTCTCACCTTTGAGCCCACTGCCGGGACACCAGCTTTAACCCACCCAGGAGGGTAGAGCCCTGATGGCCCAGTCACTTCTTCAAGGCCCCGCCTCCCCACGCTGCGACAACAGCAATTAAGTTTTCAACTCTAGCGTTTTGGAGGGACACATTCAAACCACTGCGGGAACGTAGGAGAGGAGGAGGATGGGGGCGGGAGGTCGAAGGACTTACCCGCAGACGCGGTAGGCCGCTGGGGGTGAGGCGGCGGGAGGCCACCGCCAGCAGGCGGGTGCGGGGCAGGCGGGTGCCCGCAGGAGGGTCAGACCAGAGCGGGCGCAGGGCTGAGGGGAACCCGAGCTACCGGGACTTTCCGCAGGTGACGTTTGGGAAGAGGGGAAATTAGAGGAAAAGAAGTTCCCTTCGGGGATTGCATTTGAAACTCTGCACAGCAGCAGGGTTCGGACGCAAGTCCGTAGTAGCGAGGGACTGACAGTCACCTGAACACGCTCAGGTAGGCGGCTAGCCAGGTGAAACACTACACAGCTGCGAAGAAGACGGGGGCAGCTCTACCCTGACCTAAGCACCACTTCCGGCTTCCTGTGGGCCAGTCGGACGGCCCTTGCGCAGAGTGACCCTCCCGCTGTGACAGATCCGTCACCTGCCATCTAGCGACGCTGTGGTCAGCACCGCGCCGCCGTCAGGAAGTTGGGTTGCTAAGAGGGGTGCTTTGCAAACCCTTCGTCCTGCTGGGAAGTGCAGCTACCCCACACTTCCCGTTTTCCGGGTGGCTGCCCAAGCATGACCCCATTTCCCCGACGCGGGCACCAGGGCCGGCGCGCAGCCCCCGGAACACCGCCGGGAGCCGCGGCCCGGGCGCGCCGCCTGCGACCGCGGGGCGCGCCCCCATCGCCGACCCTCCGGCCCGTCTTTAAACAGCATGGCCAGAGGAACGCCGCGGCGACAAGGAGAGGTTGGGGCACGGCGGCAGAGAACGCGCGCCCCAGGCCCGGCCCGGCCTGGCCGACAGGGGGCAGCGCCGCGCCGGCGTCCCCTTCCCGCCGCGCCCGCGCGGGACCCACGCGGTCTTGGGGACTGGGGGCGCGGCTTCCGTTCTCTTTCTTTTTATAACGCCTTTCCGTGGTAAGCTCGCTTTTTCCTGGGCCCCCGCCTGCACCCTGTGGGTCCTTCTGATGACTTTAAGGCAAACAAACCTCTGTGTTTTCAAGGGCTGTGTCTGGAGCCAGTAGGTTAGCACGGCTGTGGTGTCCTTTCTGTGTCATCCCAGGATGTGACAGTGCTCTGCTGAGAAAACAAGGCAGAGGTGGAGAAAGGGACATGAAGAGAGAAAAGGAGAGGAGGTGAAGGGCCGCCTGGCTCAGTCTCAGCGTGGCGGGTGGGACGTTGTTCACTGGCATCCACTGTTTAGAGCAGCTTATTTTAGAAGTGTTGGTATTTCCCCCAAACATATTTTCATGTATAGGTGACCTTGAATTGGCCAGATCCCTGCACAGACTCACCTCCTGTCCCCAACTTCTCAAAATAGAGCAGGCTCTACTGCACCTATCACTGTTCCCCGAGGCAAAAATAAAAGCATTGTCGTGGAGCATTGTCATGGGATTAAAGTCTCTCTTCTGAAAATAGATACATTAGCCTCGCTTTGATGGTGATTTTCCCTAACTGCCTGGGTTTTACTTCAGCATTCTTAGAGTAGCCAGGCACGATGACACTCCTTCATTCCATCAGCACCTCTTTCAGAGTCCTCACCTGAACACTGTGTGCGCCTGCATGCCAGCACAGGGCTTTGTGCCAGGTCAGGAAGTTTCCCCCGTGCCATGAGGTGAAATTCCTTGTGTGTCTGTCTTCCAGAAATGATACAGAAATGGCACATGAAAAATTGGCAATGAGTACACCGCTCACCAAATTAATAAGAGGTCAAAGAGAAAATAACCTACCAGGAACCCTTCTGGAATTAAAGAATCTAGGCTAATGTGATGGCAACTATTCCTCACACCCGGAGTGTGGCGACAGCTGACCCGCTGGGGACCAGGTGGGCTCACCGCCCCAAGGATGGCCACCGCAGAGCAGCTTCCCTGGGACAGAGTTCCGCCACCCCGGGGGCTGAGTTGTTTTCCTTTGAAGAGATGCTTCCCAGCTGCACTGAATGTGTGGCATTTGCTATGACAAAAATTTAAAACCCTTTGAGAAATTTGGGCTCTCATTCTCATTTTTCTTTCTCTTTTTCCCTTTCAAAACTTTTTTTTCTGAACTATCCTCCAAATTCTGTTCCAAAGCATCATTCTTTCCTCTTCCCGGATCTCCAAGATGAACAGATTTTTCACGGGATAAATGGATTCCTGGTTGTAGCTTCACCACTTACCAAGCCCTGGCTAGTTGCTAAATAGCCACAACCCACAGCCCTGAGTCTGTTGTCACTGCGCAGGGCAGTGCAGGCCCCGGCTGGGCAAGCCCCTGCCCTGCTGCTGCCTCCATTTCCCCGAAGTGAGAGGAGGGCAGGCAGGCTGAGCCCTCTTGCTCCCAGTATCCCTGAGCTGGCTTAGTTGGCAGGAGAGCCGGGATGGTTCTGGAGCCTTTCCCCATGGCTCAGCTTCAGGACTGACCTTGATGCCAAGTTCAGGATCACACCAAAGTCAACCTTAGTCCCCCGATGGCAGCAGGACTGACCCCTAGTTCTCCTTGGTCAGGGAAGCGGCGGGGATCAGAGCAGGTCAGGCCTCGCTGCAATCCCGGGCTGATTTTTCCATGTCCTCTCTCATGAGAAATGCACGACTGATGTTTTCTTGTAGGGGCCAGAAAAGCATTTTTCAGAGCGTGTTGGCAGCACATATCGAAGATCTTTGGCTCCCTGTGGCCTTAGCAAATGGAAGGAGGGTGGAGCTGATGGGCCTGCTGGCCAGGGCTTTCCAGCAGAGGGAAGCTGTTTGTGGGCTCCAGTTACTCCCTGGTCGGCCAACAGAGCCCTCTACCCAGGCCTTGCTGCTGAGCATGGTGCACGGGCCCTGCCTTTCCCTGCAGTCTCAGAGCTGGTCCCCTCCCAGCTGCACGGCTTGTTCCAAAGGGAAAAGGAGAGATCAGAAGGTTAACACAAACCCCTGTCTTAGTGACTCGTTACTTCTCTGAAATGTAGAGACCAACTGGCCTGTACCAAGACTGTCTATACGAGTTATCTGGAGAAGTTTTAACAGCCCCTCCCACACACACACACACTCTAGAGCAGTATCATTCAGAATCTCTGGCGATGGGGGAACAGGGATCACTGTATTTTAAAAGCTCACTTGTGTGCCTTGAAGGAAGCTTTTCTATTAGCAATGCTAATTGCTTGTTACTTTATTAATGGCTTTCTGCACTAATCAGATAGAGGAGCTAGGAAAGTCCTGGGCTAGCATGGTCATGACATTCACATGTACCTGGGAAAATGCAAGCACCCCGTTGCCATCAGCCGCAGTCAGTGCAGACTAACCCAGGGCCCCCTGCCCTGTAGAGATGATGCCCAATGTTGACTGTGCAGCCAGGAATGGGTTTCTGTTGACGCATCTGAATCAGTGAGTCCCCATTTCAGTGAGCACAACGGGTGGCCTGGACCACTCCTTAGTAGCATTCAGAGCTTGTTGCTCAGTGGGTGTGGTGTGAAGTCTCAGAACCTGCATTTTTGACAAAAACTCTGCATGGTTCTGACGCAGGTGGCCAGACCCAAGCTTTGGAAATCTGGTTTATGCCGCCTACTTGTGATTTTCAGCACAGTCTCAGCTCTTGGGAAGGGAGGCTGCGTGTCCCTCAGCGTCCCCGGTGGCCTGCCGGGCATCTTGGTGTTACCATAGTTGTGTAATGTCTTGAGATCAGCTGGAGTGAGTCCACCCCCTCATTCTTCAAAATTGCCTTGACTATTCTTGGCCCTTTTCTCTCTACGAATTTGAGGATGAGCTTGCCAAATTCTCAGAGAAATCTGTGATTTGGCTAGAATTGCACTGACTTTATAGATTAATTGGAGTAATTTTCTAAGACCTTAGAGGCTCGATGCCAGTGTCTTTTCTGAGCATAAAACATTGATTAAAATGTCACCTCACCAGTCCTGCCCTCAGGAAGTTAGGGGAGGTGTCCTAGCTGTCACGCCCATCTCCTGCACTGTGAGAAGAACCAGGCATGGAGGGTGGTTTGCCCAAGGTCACTGGTTGGTGACTAAGTTGGACCAAAAGATTAGGCCCAGGACTCTTGTTGGCTCCATCCCACCTTTTTAAGCAAGTCTGCGGGTTTGAACTCGTTGGCCTTCATGGTTCCTTCAGGAGAACCATGCTTTTCAGGCAGATTTGTCTCCACTGTAACTCTTGTGGGTTTCCAGGCAGGAATGGGGAAGGCATTTCCCCCTACTTTGTTCACGGGGTTGGGGTCTTCCAGTTGCAGTAAGAGACAAACAATCCTGCCTCCAGCCTCTGCTGCTGTGAAATTAATTTCAGCTTTTGCAGAGTGGGAGGGCGAGAGGCCCATCCAGGAGTCTGTGCCAGCAAGTGCCCCAGCTATACTTGGGCATCAGAGAAAACACATCAGGTGGCCGATGCCTCCCTCGGAATGTGCTCATTGTTTTCTGAGCTCCGGAACAGCTTGGAATTGTTTCCTACCACGTCCGGGCCCCAGGGGCAGGGCTCTTTTTCTGTCTCTGCTGTCACTTACATTCCTCCAGGAGCTCGGTTTCCATCACCTCTAATCATCCCTAGAGGACTTTGTCCTTTGTTCTTGGATTAAGCCACCTGTCACTCACTCAAGCCAAGCTTCCCACGTGGCTGGGACGCTTCTGAGATCTGTCAGAGGGGAAAACTTGATGTGTTTCAAGCATGTCCCCGTGCCAAGCTTCCACAGGGCAGCATGCAGAAAATGTGAAGACAAAAGAATTATTGCTCGCAGGAGGCAAGGGGCCGTGCCGAGCTCTTACTCAGTTGCATTTCCATGTTTGGTAAGAGAAAAGGTTCCCAGCTGGAGTTTCTGCTGTTTCCTTTCCGTGGCAGCTTTCCTAGCTGATGTCCCCCCACGCCTGTGGCGCGCAGGAGGCTGGAGTGACGCTGCGGTCCCTCCCGGCCCTGGGCCTGCGCGGCCCGTCTTTCTGTTCTCTGGGGCACCCTGGGCGCCGGGTGGCAGGTGCTGTACCTGCCCTGGGAGCACGTCCCTGTCGCGAGAGGAACCTGGTCTCAGCCCCGCCCTTCGCCCGCTCACGCCTTCACGGTCACCCGCGCCGGGCAGAGACGGGCAGGGTCTCTGTTGGAGGCCGTGGCCCAGGGGGCGGCGGAGCCGTTAGAGGTGCCAGTCGGGCCGGCTGGAGGGCTGGGCGACCTCTTCAGTCGGAAGCCAAGCGCCTGTGAGTTTCGCCTGCACAACCGGCGGGGCGACGCCTGTTGCGAACGTCACGGGCTGGTGGGAGCCCCGTCACTCGGCGTGGCCGCTGCCACAGGAGGACAGGCCCCAGCTGAGGGGAACGGAGGGGCTCGGCGGCGCCCTCAGCTCGAGCTCACAGTGCCAGTGAGGAAACTGAGTCCCGCGAGGCCGGGCTGGACCCACGTGCCCGCCCTCGTTCCTTGTGCTGCTTGGGAAGCCGCTATCCAAGTGGGACCCTCAGGAGGTGGCCGCTCCCGCCCTCGCGGTCCCGGGAGCTGAAGGTCAAATCCAGACTCTGCCCTGCCCTGGCCGCCAGGCGCCTGCGCAGCGCGGGGGGCGGCCCAATCTGCGCAGGCGCGCGCGCACACTCACAGCTCACGTGCTCACACGCAGGCATGCTCTCACGCTCACATTCACACGCTCGGGCTGCAAAGACCGACTGGCAGTTGATTTCCGAAACTTAAATTTTTCCCCTTTATTTTCTCTGTTTTATCTTTAACTCTTCGTTTAGAAATAATTTCAGACTAACAAAACTGTTGTGAAATTAGGACAAGGAATCCCTGTATACCCTTCACCCAGGTTCCCCAAACCTCACGAATCAGAGCGGCCACAGACGCCCCTGTTCTGCCGCAGGATCCAGCACAGGTCACACGTCGCCTCAAGAGGCCGGTGATGTTGCGGAATGTCCCGCGGTTTGGGTTTGAAATGTCTGAGGGTTTTTTTGTTCTTTTTTTTTTTTTTTTTTTTGAGACAGACTCTCACTGTGTTGCCCAGGAGTGAGTGCCGTGGAGTCAGCCTAGCCCACAGCAACCTCAAACTCCTGGGCTCAAGCGATCCTCCTGCCTCAGCCTCCCGAGTAGCTTGGACTATAGGCATGCGCCACCACGCCCAGCTAATATATATTTTTAGTTGGCCAATTAATTTCTATTTTTAGTAGAGACAGGGTCTCACTCTTGCTCAGGCTGGTATCGAACTCCTGACTTTGAGCAATCCGCCCGCCTCGGCCTCCCACAGTGCTAGGATTACAGGCGTGAGCCACCGCGCCTGGCCGTTGAAATGTTTTTTAAGCAACGACATAATTGATCGTCCAGGCGTAGACACCTGGAAGTGGAGGGCGCTTGATCTGCCATTACTGTCCCAGGATAGCAGGGGTCCAGCCCGCGGGACGCCCTGTGTCCGGCAGTCTCCAGCAGGCGCCCCGCTCCTCCTGAAGGCTGGTGTGCCCCGCCTGCCTCGCCCCTTCCTCTCCCGCCACACGCTCCCTCGGGACCGCCGTGTGTCCTGACATGGAAACCCTCTACCTTCCGCCACCATCTCTCCCTGGGGCTGCGACCTTCTTCCGCCCTTTTTCTAAGATTCCGTCTGACCGAGTCCGTGCCCGTTTCCTTCAGGCCAGGGCCAGGCCCCGGTCCGGTGCAAGCGTCCAGCCTCGTGGCCGGCTCCCCGTCTGCGCGCGGCCTTCCCTCCCGGCTGCCACGCGGTCCCTGCCTGGGCCTCGACCTCTGCCGCAGCGGCCTCCGTCCTTCTTCGCCTCGACCAGCCTGGCCAGCGTCCACCTCCGCCAGCGGGCTCCCCGGCGGCCCCGGCCCGGGGCGGCGGCGGTGTTCACGTGCGCGCCCGCCCGGAGGGGGTCCCCGGCCGGAGCTGCGTGTCCTCACGTCCCCGTCGCCTGGAGCAGCGCTCGCTCGCGTGTGCTGGACGTTGAAAGTGACTGCAAACAAATCCCATCCGGGGCTTATCTTGAGCTCAGGCGCGAAGGGCAGGGAGCTCGAGTAGGCCGGCCTCTCCGCCCAGCTCCTGCTCCTCTCTGTGGAAGGCTCTGGAAGGGTATGTCGGGGCCTGAGGGGGCGTCAACCCTGGCCTCACCCTCCCCTCGCAGGGCGGCCTTGGACCGCATGCAGTTCACCGGTTGGAGCACACGGCGGCAGGGGGCGGATCTGAGGAAATTCGACAATTTAATACCAGAGAACGACTAAGATAATGACTTGAGCGGACCCTATACTGTGGCAGGGCTTCTCTGACTCGGCGTCGGCCTGGAGAAGAGGCCTCCGAGCAAGCCTGGCTGTGGGGCGTGCAGGGCCGTCCCCGTCGCGGTGCCGGGCGCGGGGACAGAGGGCGAGCGGGGCGCTGCGGCCGCCCGGGCTTTTCCCGCCGGCGTGAGCGGGCCGCACTCGGGACGCGGCGCCGGGAAGGCAGGGTGGGCGGCTTAGGCTCCCCGTGCTTCCAAGGCGCCCGGTGCTGGGCTGAGGGAACGGTAGCCGCGAGGAGCTTGAAAAGCATTTTTTCAGCTACCTGTGTGCACGTCGAGGGAGGCCTGAATGGTCAAAATCAGCTTTTGCTTTGGAGACAGCGTGTGCGTTTGCAGGCGGTCCCTACACGCTCCGCGATGCATTAGCCTGGGCCCTGCGCCCTGCCTCTGTGGAGCGGGCGGGAAGGAAGTCCAAGGGACAGTGCTTCCCGCAGGACCCCAGCCCAGGCTCCCGCTCCCCTGCCGCCTCCCTCGCCTGGGCACCCGGACTGGAGGCCTTGGAGTCATTGCTGGCTCCTCTGCCCTCATGCCCACATTCAAACAGTGGCCGAGTACTTGGAAATGCCCCTCTGGTTCAGTGTGCGAAGGGGCGGCTGGGCCTGGTCCTCCGGTGTCCCAGCGGGGGTGCCCCACAGGCTTCCTGGGCCAACAACACCTTTTCAGGAAACCCTCCTGGGTCCTCCCTGCGGCCGCCCTGGCATGGAGCTGGCGCTGCAGAAACTCCCGGAGGGAAGCACCATGTCTAGGCCTCCCCGCCCAGGCATCTTCTCCCAAACGGGGGCACGCTGCGCCCTCCTGAGGCCACCGCGCCTCCCGGCCTCGCCGGCCAGGAGGCTGACTCGACTCGCTGACAGTCTCCCGTGGAGGAAGCTCCTGGTCTGATCTAACGGTTTGTCCCGTCCTCCCGTGGGGTTGTCCTGCGGTACCCCCCTCCAGACAGCACTGTCGCCGGCTCCCCCTTCTGCAGACCAGCCCGTCGCTGCCCCCGTCCCCGCCCGTAGCCCCAGGCCAAGGACTTCTGCTGGCCCCAACCCGCGGGATCCGCGCTCCTCCAGTTCTAGGGCGTAGAGCCTAAGCCGTCTCCGTTTTTGCTCGGTGGGCCGGGCGGCTCCCGTGGGGCCGGCCCGCGCGGGTCCCTCCCGGGCTGGCATGGCACGCGCCTGCACATGTGCGCCCGCCGCTCGGCCGGCTTCTCCCGCGGGGGGGACTCAGCTGTGAGGTCTGTGGGGCTCCGCCGCGGAGAAGCAGGTTGGTCCGAGGACTGCACGCGTCACAGTGGACAGACTAATGAGCCCCACGAGAAAGGGCACACTCGGCCGGGGCCCTGGGTTCCCCAAGGCCCGCTGGCTTTGCGGGGCTGTGGCGGAGGGCCGCGTCCTGCGGGGGGCGCGGTCACCTCCTCCCAGGAGCCCCTGGCCCCAGGACTCGCGGGCACTGTGGCCGCAGGCGGCGAGGGGGCGCAGACCCCGGGTTTTTGGCACCAGACCCGAGGGCAGGCAGACGGGGGAGGCCTAGCCCGCCCGAGCTCAGACCGCCGCGCATTCTTCCAGTACCCGGGCGGCCGCGGCCCTTCGCGGGGGAAGGCACGTGCACCCTGGGGCAGGCGGCCTCGGCCACGTGTGGCTTTCTGCACGCGTGCCCGCGGCTGGCTTTGCTGGTGGCTCTGCGGCGGCGGCCGGGGCTGCGAGCCCACGGGGTCCGGCTCTGCTCGGTGGCCACCTGTCGTGCACACGCGGGTTGCAAAGGTGTCATCGCCCACCCAGAGCAGCAGAGGCTCTGAAAGCAGTTTCGGGGGCGGCTCAAGCGCGGCTGACAGCGCTGTCCTCGCCGTGCGACGTCCAGCAGTCGGTGCTCAGATCAGGGCTTCGCAAGGACGCCCACCCGAGGGGCAGGCAGGGGCGCCAGGCCCAGCCCTCGTCCCGTCCCCCTCAACCCGCGACCCACAGGTCGCTCCCGCCGTGTCTTCTTGGTCTCAGAAGCCAAGACCTCCGAGCCGCCTCCCCGCCCGCGGTGGGTGTCGCAGCCGCGCACGGCACGAGCTCAACGCGTGCTCTCTCCCGCAGGATCTCCTACGACCCCGCCCGGTACCCCAAGTACCTGCCCGAGGCCTACTGCCTGTGCCGCGGCTGCCTCACCGGGCTGTTCGGCGAGGAGGACTTCCGCTTCCGGAGCGCGCCGGTGTACGTGCCCGCCGTCGTGCTGCGCCGCACGGCCGCGTGCGCCGGGGGCCGCGCCGTCTACGCCGAGGACTACGTCACCGTGCCGGTGGGCTGCACCTGCGTGCCCGAGCCCGAGAAGGACGCGGACAGCATCAACTCCAGCATGGACAAGCAGGCCGCCAAGCTCCTGCTCGGCCCCAACGACGAGCCGGCCCGGCCCTGAGCCCGCCCGGCCCGAAGGGCGCCCGCGGGGTCGCACCGCGCTGGAGGCCCGGCTTTCCCCCTGGGGTCGTTGGGGACCGCCGACGGGGCGCGTCCCTGGCTTGCTTTTTAGGCTAACGTGGGTGGAGGCGTTGCCAGCTGGTGGGAAGTGACGGGCGCGGCCCGCGCGGCCCCGGAACAGTCCTCCGCGCTCCCGGCCGCAGACCCGGCTGTGCGGCCCCCACGACGGCGCGCTCTGGGAGGGAGACACAGACGTGTGTGCTTTTTAACGAAATTTTTTTTTTTTAAGTAGAGCAACTATAGCTACCTTTTAAGTCAACTGTTTTGAATAGGGGCAGAAACTATTTTTATATTAGCAATTTAGAGCAACTATATTAAAACTTTTTACTTGCCATATAAACATTTTATAAGCATTCAGCTTTCACTTCCTGTGGTAGAAATTTTTAGAAGCATCATTGGAATCCTCGATAAACTCTTTTTAGCTGGCACTGTGGCCTGGGTCTGTGAATTCAGCCTCTCACCGTGGCTGATGACACCGAAATGGGCACATGTGAATGGCACTTACGATTATTTCCACTGCAGGTCTTCACAGGCTACCAGGGGAACAAAAGGGCTGCACAGGCAGCTCATATGATCCCAGGATGGACTAAGAATTCCAGAAATCTCAAACTTGGTTTTAGTTATCAGTATATAAATGGTCTCAATCTTACATAATCTAAATTTTTGGTTTTTTCACTTTTTGAAGGTCACTGGGGCCAATTTGTGAATAAGGTGGTAAGATAAATAAGAGGTGGAATGTGACTTCTTTGCCAATTCTTGGGAACAACCCAAGTAATGGCTTGGTTCTAAGGGCTTTGGGATCAGGCCAAATATGAGGAAAAAATGGGCCAATTTGGAATTTCCAGAGATCAATACTGCTGCTGCTGCTTTTTCTATGAACTGCAACATGAGCTAAGTCCTTACTCTTTTCTTTAGGTTGAAAGTCTGTCCCTAAACACAATTATTTGTAAAATTACTAGAAGTTCTTTTTAAATCATTAAACAATTACAGGTGAAAGATGTGCTGGTTGTGTGCATTTCTCTGTGAATTCTGCTTAGAAATGGGCTGGGCTGATTTTTAGAGGAAATACGTTGTTAAGTAAAGCCTTCACTTTAACATCTTATGGTTGAGGTTCAAGTTCATCAAAATTTGATTTGGTCCTAAGAAAGATCAACTAGTCATGACAATCTCTTTGATCTTTTGTGATACCCTCAACCAAGACCAAGAAGTGTCCTTTATTTATAAGTATTTCACACCTAAGCTTTGTCTACCACAGAAAGAAGAGTTGCCTTCCCTCCCTTACCACTATCAGCTTTAGTTTGATCCAGACAGAAGGGTCACTCAGAGAACTTTCAGCTCCTACTAAACACTGATAGAAACTGTGTATGAAAAACATCACTGGGTAAAATTCACATTGTCCAAATAAAAAATTCAAAATGGAAAGCAATAGCTCTGTAGACTTTGGGAAATTTTACTTCCCCATTCTACCTCTGGGGGGAAAAATGGTACCTCTGGTGGTGGTATGTCTAGAATACATTCCTGTCCAGAAAACAGAAGGTTTAAAGCAACAACAAATACACAAATTGAAAGGAAAAACTGCTTTTCAAGCCAGTGATGTGGATGTTGTTCCAGTCATTTCTGCTGTTATGTAACAGTTTCCAGGCCACTCCTCAAACAAATAGTGCAAGCTCAGAGGAAGGTGCATTCAGGAGAGCAAACTATTTGCATGTGGAAAATGTCACGATTTTATTTATTGTATTAATCATTACTTTATACTCAGCTTGTTAAAAGGTACCACATTCTCAATGAAGAAATTAGCTTTCCATTTTGTGAGCTAGAAAAACAGCCTTTATTTGTGTTTTTTCTCTAACTGGCCTATTCATCCACTTAGCAAATACCTAATGGGCACCTCCCTGGTTCCAGTTACCGAGCTCTTGCAAGAAAACTGTTGACAACATACAATCTCTTTCTTCAGCTAAAACGAATAGAAGGCAGAAGCTGTCAGAGCAGAATCAGAGGTTTACGTGTGCCAGCTGCTCACACGCTGGGGCTGCCTTAAGAATCTGCATTCCTTTGTCTCAATGAGCTGCATTTTCCTCATTTATGAAACGAGGTCATGAGGTTGGAAAAGCACCTGGCACAGTACCTGGCATGCAGCAGGCATTAAAACACATCGCCCCAATCATTTATAAGCTGCATTTAAAATAAATATCAAGCTAAGCAGTCTCCATGTTATGTTTATTGCTTTAGCAGGCATCTGTCACTTAGAAGTGACTTTTTTGTCTAAAAGTTTAAAATGAAATCTGTAGGCAGCCACAATTAGAGATGTGTTGAAATTAGAGGTGGTGGCTAAGTCTGGAGAGGTGCTGTTTCAATGAACAAGATTTTATTGAGCAGAATTTTGTTCTCTTATTAAAATTAAACTTTTTAAAGGGGGGACTGGGGACGTGTTGGTATCGTGTTTTATCAAACAAACAGGGAAGGTTACACTCTGGAGAAACTATGCTAGCCGAAGTTCTATGGCACCTCCCTGCCCTGAGTCCCACTTGGCTGAGTTCTTCATGCCGCAGTTAACACAGCCTGGGCTCACCCGCATGGGCACCACTCATTCCTAGGCTTTCCGGACGTGCAACCTTGTACATTTCAGAGCTGCGTCCCCTCCTCCCAGAAAAGTGCAAGTTTCCATCAAATGAATTCTATCTTGAGGATTGGGTGGCAACCCTTGGAATAGAGGTGCTTTGCTGGTTACTGAGGATCTTTTCCAACCAACTGACAGTATTTCGATTGTATACTTGTTCTATAAACATGGACTCATTTGGGAATAGCCATCCAAAAACATTCTGCAAATGCCAACAGTTCCACGTCCAGGTGCCAATTACCCACACTTCTTGTTTTACTGCATCTTTCAGAAGGGCAAAGGGGGCAGGGGCATGGCCATTTTCAGTAACTGGCTCCAGCTCTGATCTTAGAAAAGTGAGGACTGAATTCTGATCTTTTTCTTTTGCTAAAAACTCCTTCCTAAGGAGGCCAGCTGAGTCAGGCTGGCAAATGGTAAGGAGGCCAGCTGGGTCAGGCTGACAAACGTAAATTCCCACTAAGTAGCTTTTGTTAACCAAATAAAGCCGTGATTTACTTCCCAACCTGATTCCGGTATAGCATTAACATCACCTAAAAGATAAGAAGCCCCTGTCTTAACTCAGGCATCCTAGCAGATCCCTATCATAAATTTAAAGCATCTTAAAGCATCCTACCAGGCACCTATCATAAATTTAAAACCATCCTCCTGTCTGGACCTCCCAGAGTGCTCACACCCTTATCTTTTTTTTTTTTTTTGAGACAGAGTCTTGCTTTGTTGCCCAAGCTAGAGTGAATGCCGTGACGTCAACCTAGCTCACAGCAACCTCAAACTCTTGGGCTCAAGCAATCCAATCCTGTCTCAGCCTCCCCAGCAGCTGGGACTACAGGCATGCACCACCATGCCGGGCTAATTTTTTCTATATATATATTAGTTGGCCAATTAATTTCTTTCTATTTATAGTAGAGACGGGGTCTCGCTCTTGCTCAAGCTAGTTTCGAGCTCCTGACCTCAAGCAATCCGCCCACCTCGGCCTCCCAGAGTGCTAGGATTACAGGCATGAGCCTTATCTTAAAATAAGCATATCCTTTTTGGCCTTCTAGATAAAGTCTAACTCTCTTGGCCAATTGCCAGCCAAAGAATCTTTAAACCCACCTATAACCTGTAAGCACCCCCCCCCTCAAAATGTCCCACCTTTTTGGGCCAAATCAATGTACTGATTTGTGACTTTGCCTGTAACCCTTCTCTCTGAAATGTATAAAACTGAACTGTAACCCAGCCACAGCTAGTCCACTTGCCCAAGGCCTCTTGGCAGTGGCTCCGGGTTATGGTCCTCAAATTTGGCTTAGAATAAATCTCTTCAAAATTATTTTACAAAGTTTAGCTTTTTTCCGTTGACAAAAGAATGGAAGGGGAACGAGCACATATTCCTGTGTGAACTGCAGTTTTAGGGTTCCCCGTGCAGTCCCTGGGTTTGTGCTGTGCAGGCACCCCCTCGTCCCCAGCACACAGCTGAGCAGTTACAGGGAAACGTGTCGCTTTTGTTAGCAAGACGGAATTATCCTGTCCCTTCCCACTCACGTGAAGGCTCCTTTGTCTCTCACTGCAGCTGTCTGAATCAGAAGGGACTTACAAAGATGTTTACGAAACCATTCTTTCAGCCTTTGAGGTCTGTAGGTAAGGTGTAAGAGGCAAGGGGGCCTCGTGAGAGCCACGAAGCTCGTTCCACGTCTGCATTCACCACGCACGGACACAGACAGAGCGAGGGCATCCGCGGGCTCCTGCCCCCAGTGCCTCCTGCCCCCAGTGCCTCCCGCCCGATTAGACAGACCCGAGGAGCGCACCGGGCCTGATGAGTCTTTTTAAAGGTTGCAGAGGTATAGCTGCAGCTCTTTATGAAATCCAGTAGATTACATACGGACACAGATATGCTAAAATCGAAATCCCATCAGGGTCCCAATGCCACGAAACACCTTGGCTGCTTATTAAACACAAACGCAGTGACCTCATTTCGTAAGCCTAAGACTTGTGGACATTTTTGAAATGAGTCAAGGTTAACCTTCTCTCCCCTGACACCTGCGAAGAAATAATGTTTCTCTTCAACTAGATACTAGATTTATAGGACTACAATTCTGTTATTTCTAGGCTGCTGTTCTCCTGCAATTCCTAAGTTAGACACTGCGTTCCTCTCAGTAATTAGCTATTGACCAGGTAATTCTTACCAAACTGATTCACAGGGAAATAATAAAGTTGGGGTTACTTTTTAAAGAACAGACATTTATACTGAACGTGTGCCAGGTAGTACTGATAAAAACACCAAGGTTTCATAAAAACAGTGATTTTTAAAGTAAACTAAAAGTCGCTCAGAAGTAAGACAGCTGAGGTCTGAGAACCAGCAGGAAGGGGCAGGTCCCCCGGCTTCCCGGGCACGGCTGGGTGTGCCTGGCCCTCCCCGGCCGGCCAGGACAGGCTGGGTTTTTCCCAGTAATGAGCGCAGGGTCTCTGATGTCCAACTGCACGTGGTCCTTTCTCTGCCCCCTACGTCCCCTGCAGGGGACTGTAGCCCTGCCCCACTCGAGGACTGGACAAGGCAGAGAGAAGTGACATATGTCACTTCCTTTCACACTGTGTTGGCCAAAGCAAGTCACAGGAGGTGGGGAAGTATAGTCCTTTCCCAGAGAGAGGGTGTTAATTTTTTGGAAAGTTTTTATTCTAAAATGTAGTTCTCAGGAAACTGATAGGTCTTATGTACCCTTTACCCAGTTTCCCCTGATGGGAACATCTGACCTAACTGTAGTGCAATGTCACAACCAGTTGTACACGCGCTCATTTGTGTGTGCGGCTCTGTGTAACGCTGCCACATGTGCAGGTGCATGGAACCACCGCCCCAGACAAGACAGACCACCACGCAAGCACGAGAGGACCCCCCCTGCGCCCGTCCTGACTCTACCAACCACTGACCTGTCCTCAAGAAGGTTGTAACTGGAAACGTCTAGTGTGTGATCTTTGGGGATTTTCTTCACTCAGTTTGATGTCCCTGAGGTCCGTCCCAGCTGCATGTAGCAACAGCTCATCCTTCTGGCCACTGAGGCCCTCTGGGGTGTGGGTGTGACAAATGAGCTTCGAACAGAGAGACGCCACTTTGGCTCTGGGCTGTGGTTTACAGAGGGCACCTTCATCTGCTCAAGCAATTCAGAACGGGGCCCCTGGGTTCCCTTCTCGTCACCCTCTCAGCCCTCCCAGAACTGGGAAGAGGAGAATTCCAGAGGCCCCAGGATAGCAGCTCCTCTCAGGGAGGGAAGCCACGTCTCCTAGCAGGGCTAGGGCAGGATGGGGTGGGGCCTCACGAGCCCCAGGACGCCACTCGACTGTGCCAGATGGCAGAAGGGGCCCACGTTAAGGGAACTTATGACCTGAGGCAGAGGCCAAGGTCCTGTCTGATTCAGGAGGCCCTGGGCAAGCCACTAAGCTATTTGTTCTTCTGTTTTTACATACATTAAATGAGGGGAGTGGATTAGGCAGGTTCTAAGATTTCTTCCAACTCTAATTCCATGGATTCGGGTTGGCAGAAGCAGCTCTAGGGACACAATAATGTCCTTAAGGAAACAATAATGAGAGATGGTGTCCTTATTTTGAAACTCAGGCCAGGGACAGCTCCTGTCTGGTGGGGAGGGCAGGAGGTTATAACTTTTCAATGTACTAAGAAAATAAAAACAGAGGAGAAATGTGTCAGGGGTCTTTTACTGTGTTATGTTACTGTCTGTATTTAGAGACCACAGTCTAGCCCAGATTCATAATTCACATAACAGCAAAACTCATTTGCCAAGTTTCGGGTATGTTTTGGAATAAACTTGCACATCTTCACTCCAAGGAGTTCTGCTGCCAGTTCTTCCATGATGGCACCTGAGGAGAGCAAAGTAAATGAATCCAAAGAGTGAATGGCCGGCCGAGAGCTCGGCGCCAAAGCAGCCCCGGAGAAGGGCTTCCAAAGTCCCGAGAGCAAACTGGACCACACAGCCCCAGAAGCGTGGGGGAGGGTCTGCACCTTCTTCAACATTTTTGCAAATTACCTATTTTTCTCCATTTCCTTTTTATGTAATAAATAATTTTCCTACTTTTGCAAAGCTGAAACACTTAGAAATTTAGAAGTGGATTATATCCCACAAACGAACATAAGGAGAACAAAAATCATTGCTAAAAGCTAGGGTTTTTCAGTAATACTTAATTGTACAGACCGGTACGAGTACATTGCTACCTTTTCACTGACTGCTCCCAGTTTCTACACCTGGCCCAACGTGGCTAGCTCCCTCAGCCAGTCCCCTGGCAGGAGGTGGCCTCAGCAGCCCTCACGGGCCGGAAACCCAGGACAGCCCCAGTCCTGGCCCTTTCTTCCCCCACACTCAGAGCACAGCGAGCTCTTCCAGTTTCATCCTCACAGCATCTCTCTAATGCATCCCCTGCCTCCCCTCCTACTGCCGTGACCTTGTCCGGACCGCTGTCGTCTCTCACCTGGACGTTGCCACAGCCCACGCGGTGCCTGCACCCACCTGCCCCATGGAACCTCTTCCGTACAAAATTAAAGCCAACTTCTTTAGACAAATTGGATCCTGTCGCTTTTGGGCCACACTCTGAGCACTTTAGAAAAGAAAACCCCAACTCCCGCTGTCACCTGAGGGGGGCCTCTTGCCCGGCCCTGTGCCCGGGCTGGCTCTGAGGCCCTCAAGACCCGCTGTGCCAGCCCCGCCAGGCTCTGCTTCTTTCATGACACTTGTCACGATTAGAATGCGCTTCTTGGGTATGTTTGTCGTCTTTTTAAACCTGTCTCCTAAATCTGAAATGTGTGCTCCGTGAGGCCGGAGCGCTGCCTGTGTTAGTGAGCAGCTGAGTTAATGCGCTAAATAAATTACTGTTTGTATGATCGAAGAGCAGCATTCTTGACCAAATAGCCTGTTCCACGACACCAAAGAACAGACTCCCTGCAGCTCAGCCCTGCTTGGAGCTGCGTGCTGGGGCGGAGAGGCGCGGCCCTGCGCCCTGAGAGCCCAGGCCCGCGGCCGGCCGGGAACAGCGCCCGTGGGCTGGACTCCCGGGCTGCCCAGAGGTCAAGAGACTGGGTGGTAACGTTTTAGTCCCCAAATTTTACTATGTTGAATTTTACTATGTTCACCTTAAGAAAGTATATTAAATTCTTCTACTTCAACACACCTCATCTAATGTGTGGCTCTATAACCACAGGCAACTCACTCTAACTCTGCAGATTCTGGATTTCTCTTTCATCGAGCAGAGAGGCTGATCACAGACTACAACTACTACTGATGGCGATGATGATTGATTAAAAACAACGGCTAACATGCATCAAGCCGTCGCTATGCGCACAGCCAGACCTGAGATAAGTACTTAATGTGTATTGTGTCACTGAATTCTCCACAACCCTAGTATTATTAGTTCTAGTTTACAGATAAGGAAACTGGGAACAGAGAGGTTAAATAACTTGTTTAGGGTCACACAGAAAGTGGTGGATTCAGGATTTGAGGGGTTTTTTTGAGACAGAGTCTCCCCCTGTCACCCAGGCTGGAGTGCAGTGGCACAATCACAGCTCACTGTAAACCCGGAACTCCTGGGCTCAAGTGATCCTCCCGCCTCAGCCTCCAGAGTGGCTGGGACTCAGGAGTATACACGACCACATGCGGCTAATTTTCCTTATTTTTTGTAGGGATAGGGTCTCACTATGTTGCCCAGCCTGGTCCCAAATTCCTGGCCTCAAGTGATCCTCCCGCCTCCCCAAGTGCTGGGGTTACAGGTGTGAGCCACTGCACCCGGCCTGGGACTTGAGTTTCAAATTTCTTCCAACTCTTCAAACCAAAGATTTGAAGAGTATATCCACTGTCACTGGCTTTTGTGAGACATGCAATGTGGTACCTACCAGTGCACAGCAGGATCTTGCCCCGAGTCAGGTACTTGATGGTTTCTGACGTTTTTCTGAGACATTCCTCAGAAAGATAGGGAGGATCCGCTATTACAATATCAAAACTATGTGCAGAAATTTCTTCAGGTAAATCCAATGGCTTATTATAATCGTAGAAGATAAACTCCTCTCCATATATGGTAAATCTTTTGTCATATTCAAAGATGTATACTGAAAAGTCTTCTCTGTGCAGCTCTCTGAGTTTCTGGTACACGCTGGGGGCACTCACACACGCTATTCTAGAAGACAAAACAAACACACTCATGACAGAGCCTTAACAGATAGCTCATGGCATTAAATAACTGTTTCGCAAAAAAAAAAAAAAAAAAAAATTAGGTCCTAGCATTCAGATTTTCTTAAAGGAAGTAATAGTGCAAACTAATGAGATAGTAAATTTTGGGTAAAAAAAAAAGTTACAGTTAAAAGAATTTGGTACTTAAAAATCTACAACTCATAATTTTGAGGTATGAAAGGATAAATGTGCTTTCTATAGTAAGAAATGTAAACGTGAGGAACACATTATAACAAAAGTTAGATGTGGTTAGCCCAAAGCCTAAATTTACCTTTTATTTTCATGTTGGGCCTTTAATATTTATTTCAAATGCTTTTAGTCCCAACTCAATATTTTGAAGTCATTTTGTAATACTCATGATGTTAAAAGACAATCCTCAAATTACTCCAGTTTCCAAAAAGATACATTAAAAATACATTCACTGCAGACAAGCTATTTTGAATTTATGCTTCTTTTTTGTATAAGGAAATTAAAAAATCTGTTTCATTACAGGCAGTCCACAGTTTTATGAATGGGTAGTGTTCCAAGAGTTAATTTTTAAAACTAGCTGCTGAAAAAGCTAGACATAACCTAAATAATTGAATTATTGACTATGGTAAATCTGTTACAATGAAATGTTTTGTTGGAGCCACTTTATTTATTTATTTATTTATTTTAGAGACAGAGTCTCACTTTGTTGCCCAGGTTAGAGTGAGTGCCATGGCGTCAGCCTAGCTCACAGCAACCTCAAACTTCTAGGATCAAGTGATCCTCCTGCCTCAGCCTCCCGAGTAGCTGGGACTACAGACATGGGTCACCATGCCCGGCTAATTTTTTGTATATATATTTTTAGTTGGTCAATTAATTTCTTTCTATTTTTAGTAGAGACGGGGTCTCGCTCAGGCTGGTTTTGAACTCCTGACCTTGAGCAATACGCCCACCTCGGCCTCCCAGAGTGCTAGGGTTACAGGCGTGAGCCACCGCGCCCGGCCTGTAGCCACTTTAAAGACTAAAGCTCCCCTCTATATGCTGATAAGGAACGTACTGACACTGAGGGTTCCCTAGGAGACAGCTCATCCAGACCCCCCAACTGTAGGGACCAAGGTAGATAAGTCCACCCATGTGTCCAACCTTCCAGCTTTTGAGTACTCTCCCCTTAAATAAGAATGGACAGCTGGGGGTCAGCAGACAAGGAGGCATCTTAGATAAATATCTAATATTAAATAAACAGAAAACAGAGACTATGCAGGAAGAAGAATACTTTTTAGAAGATCCTATAATATCCTCAGAAGGATGAACAAGACACACTAATAAAGAAATATTCAGAGGCCAAAAAGAACTATAGACAATTACAAATATGATAAACTCAGTAGGAAATTTAGATGATAAAGCTGAGGAATTCTCCAGAAAGTAAGGTAAAGAGGCAATAGATAGAAAAAAAAGAAAATTAAGAAGATCAGGTCTAGGCCGGGCGCAGTGGCTCACGCCTGTAATCCTAGCACTCTGGGAGGCTGAGGCAGGAGGATCACTCAAGGTCAGGAGTTCAAAACCAGCCTGAGCAAGAGCGAGACCCCATCTCTACTAAACATAGAAAGAAATTAATTAAATATAATAAATTAAATTAAATATATACAGAAATTAAATATATCAGAAAAAATTAGCCTGGCATGGTGGCACATGCCTGTAGTCCCAGCTACTTGGGAGGCTGAGGCAGCAGGATTGCTTGAGCCCAGGAGTTTGAGGTTGCTGTGAGCTAGGCTGATGCCATGGCACTCCAGCTCCAGCAACAAAGTGAGGCTCTGTCTCAAAAAAAAAAAGATCAGGTCTAATATTCAAATAATAGAAGTTCCAGAAAGAGGAACTGAAAAAACAAACAAACAAAGAAACACCAGTGGGCAAAGGAATCAAAGAACTAATTCAAGATAATTTTCTCAAACTGAGGGAAATGAATGATGAAGATGAAGGGCTTCCCAGTGCCTGGGATAGTAGATGAAAGCCCTACACCAAGACACATTGAATGCTGGGGCTTGAGAGAAAAAAATCCTAAACTTGCAGTAGGCAGAGATGCAAAAAGCAGGTTTCTGTTACAGAACATACGCAATAAAAAAAAAAAAAGCAGGTTTCCTACAAGAAATCAGAATGACACTTGACTTCTTACTAGCAACTATGAAAGCCTGGAGACAATGGAGCAATGCCTTCAAAACCTGGAATGAGCTATCCAACAAAACTGTCACAGTCAAGAGCAAGGGCAGGACAACAGCATCTGCAGACATGGAAGTTCAATCCCGTGCGCCTTTTCTGTGGGAGCTCTGGCAGGATGCATGCCTCCATCACAAGGCTGTAAACTAAGAATCAGGCTTTGGGAAACAGGGAGTCTAGAACAAAAGAGGTAAAAGGGAGCATGACAGTGAGGGGAGATACCAAGATAAGAGCTGAGCAAAGCTAGAAAGCAACCAGTGCAAACGAACAGGTTGCAAAGCCCTGGGAGTAACTTTTTTCAAGAAGTTGAAGTGGCTTAACTTATTGATAGGAGATGTAGACACAGAATTTGGGGATTAATTATGATATGAATATAGGATACATAAAAAATAAAAGAATTATTTTTTCAGGGAAAATGAAAAGTACAGAAAGGAGAATGAAAAAGCTCAACTGTAAAGAACACATATGTATGCCAGATGATTGCAGTCACTAAAAAAAAATAAATAAATAAATAAATAAAAAAGAAAAAAAAAAGAAAAAAAAAAAGAAAAAGAACACATATGTAGTCATAACAATATAAACCCTGTTATAACCAAAATTAAGATATATTAATAACTCTGTAGGGTACACGGAAAGCATGCATGTCATGTGATAACAGTATAGCATCAAAGAACTAAATCCTCATTCTTTATGGTGAGGAGTCAAGAAATAATGTCTAAAAGTAATAAATCAAGAAGTGGCACTATCAACATGTTATTTGAAAATCTCACTGTAAATACCAAGGAATCAACTGAAAGGGAGAGGAAAGTGGGGGCAGTTATGGGGGATATTAGAAATGGATTTTTTTGAATAAATCTGCTAGAACAATTTCACTCTTTACATTATATGCATGCAAAGTTTTGGTAAAAATAAAAATATGAAAACCTATATTCTTAAAACTTCAGAAACATCAAACATCAGGATTTTCTCTTTTAAAGCAAACTCTAGAAGCATAAAGGTAAGAAACAGGTTAGAAAATGTTAAAATAAAGAACAGAAACAGGCCAGGCATGGTGGCTCACACCTGTAATCCCAGCACTCTGAGAGGCCAAGGCGGGCGGATTGCTCGAGGTCAGGAGTTCCAAACCAGCCTGAGAAAGAGCAAGACCCTGTCTCTACTATAAATAAAAAGAAAGTAATTGGCCAACTAATATATATAGAAAAAATCAGCCGAGCATGGTGGCACATGCCTGTAGTCCCAGCTACTCGGGAGGCTGAGGCAGCAGGATTGCTTGAGCCCAGGAGTTTGAGGTTGCTGTGAGCTAGGCTGACGCCATGGCACTCACTCTAGCCTGGGCAACAAAGCGAGACTCTGTCTCAAAAAAAAAAAAAAAAAGAAAAAGAAAAAGAAAAGAAAAGAAATAAGAAAATAAGAAAACCTATAAGGAATAGATCTGTGAGGGGTGCTGAAGTGAGTCTTAATTTGTCATGTGCTGCAAACCAGGATGGACAATTTTTTCACATTATAGTTCACACTTCTTGCAAACTGTCCCTTCCCTAGGAAGGACATTCAAAATATTACTTTGGATTAGAAGACAAAAGGAGAAATGACATTTGAATCTCACCTGCCACCTTCGCCAGCAGCGGCAATGGCTTCCTGTGCGAGTCGCAAAGCAGTCTCCTGACTATACCAAAACTGGCTCAGTTGCTGTGACAGAGGAATGGGTCAGTATCATTTTTAGAATTGGCACAAACTTTGTTCTTTTATATCTACTATGTCAGCATGCATATATTTAAAAAATTTTCTTTTGAAAATTAATTTTTATTTGAAACTATTTTAAATTAATACAAGCCTCTAATGAATTAATGGAATCTATGCACTGAGTGTCAATGGCTGCTAACATCACAAAAGGATGGTTTATAGTCAATGTTTCTCCTGATGGAAGAACACATCCCAACCTTTGTATTAGTCTTGCCAAAAAAAAATCGAACTTGAATCTGATTAAGCTTCTAGATTCAACTAGCAACGAACAGAATTACAAACACAGAGTGGAAGAACACGTTAAATGATGCCGTAGGATGCAATCAGCGAAATCCAGACTGTGCTACTTTTCTGTGGCTTCATCTTTACCTTGGGCATGTTTCCTGGAATTACTTGTTTTTCCCTCGGGGGAAAAGTTGTTTTTCATCTTGCTCTTTCTGTTTCATGCTGATGGATGATTTTTAAAAAATTTCTAGTGATCCTTGATTATCTATTCATATTTACAAATTAAGGATGATTTTAATGAAAAAAAAATAGCTTTTTTTCCCTCTGTAATAGCATAGACTCATCTCTCCAACTGGCCTCACTGCCCACTGAGTGACAGGGCTGAGGCCGCCTGCTGCACGGGCCACGTACACGGGATTCTCACTTTAAAAATGTGCTCGGTGTGGAAACAACTCAAATGCCTATCAACTGATGGATGGACAGACAAGATGGAGTACATTGCACAATCGAATATTATTGACTCATAAAAAGGAATGAGGCACTGATACATGCTATAACATGGACGAATACTGGAAACATGCTAAGTGAAAGAAAACAGACACAAAAGATCATGTATTATATGACTCCATTTATAGGAAACAACCAGAAGTGGCACACCCACAGAGACAAAAGTGGCTGGTGGTTGCCAGGGCTTAGGGGAATTGTGGGATTGGGAGGTGACAGCTGATGGGTGTAAGGTTTCTTTGTGAGGCAATGAAAATGTTCTCATGATGATGGTCGCACCTATCTGTAAACTGACTAAAACCACTGAATTACACACTTTAAAAAGGTGAACCATATAGTATGTGAATTACATCTCAACAAAGCTGAAATCTGATCAAATAGGGAGATCTTTACTCTTGAGTATGGAGGAATTTTGTATAGTCCCTTCCTAAATGAAACTGCCTTTTCCCTTTTGTCTGTGGCAGAGCTCTGGAGCTACCTTACATTCTATTCTGTGTCTCTTTCCATGTGTCCTACCCAAGTTAGGGCATTCCCGAAGCAGATTCTCCACTTTGCTTAGTGAGAAATCCTCTGAGATTGGGCCTGGAGGTGCGTACCTCCCATGCTATGTTTGACATCTGGATGTGATTAGGTGGGTAAGAGACCAACTGGCCCAACTATGGTAGCAGGCCACGCTGCTAATTAATCAGTCACAGGAAAGCAGGCAAGGTGCCACTTTCACCCGCTGTGTTCCGCAGGCTGAGTTCGGAAGCCGGAGTCTGTGTGTCCTCCGCTGGAAGAAAGGCTCTCGTCTCTGCCACCGTTCCCACCCAGGGTGGCACTTTACTCTGCTGTTCACAGACCGTCTAATTCCCACTTTCTTTCTTCCAAACTCCCTTGAAATTTCTGGCCACATTTTAACCACGGTTAGTTTTAAACACAGAGTGAACAGGCAAAATTTATATAACTTAAAAACGACATCCAAACTGGACACAAAATGTAAAAGATAAAAGCTTCCTTCCAATGGCAAAGCGATGAAGACAGACCTCCTACCGAGGGGCAGCCACAGACTACATTTGAGGCTTGTCTGTTTCTCAAGTATCTCCATTAAAAAATTTAAATTTCTAGGTTCCAGTCTATCTGAGGAGTTTCCCGCACTTTTTCTTTTTTAATCTCTATTTTTATTTGAGCTGTAAAACACAACTGAGTATATATTATAGACCAAAAACTATTTAGTATTTTCTTAAAAACTCCCTCTCATCAATTTTTCATTAAATGTTTAAGTTCTGTTCTACCATTTATGACAATGATATGTTTTTCTCGTTCCACCAGGATTTCTGGGCCCACAAAAGCTAATAGTGTATATCTCTATCCAAGGCTGAAGCACAGGTTTGTGTTGGACATCACATCACCCCCTATCCGAAAGGCCCCCTCCTCTGATGGCCAACCAGCCTGGCCGTCAGAACCAGGGAGAGCTCAGTGTGTACTGTCTTAAAATGATCAGGGACTGCTTTCATGGTCCCCCACAGAGATTATCAGATCACAGTGACAGTGACGGGGATTTCGGTATTAGGTGGGATGCAGAACCACATCAGTGTGTTCTGCTGGATATGGAATGCATTACTCACCCAGTTCTCTTCTATTATTCCAATGTTATATTTATCATCCCCACCTAGGTCAGTCTGCTGCTTTTGTTCAGCGTAAAACTCCTGGAGAGCTGCTAAGGTGTGGGCAGAAAGCTGGGGGCTCTCATCATCTTCCAGGTCACTCATTTCACCTTGCCTCTAACCTGCAAATCAAGCGGTAAATGTTCTATGTGGATTTTGTTTCCTGTTCTTATCAAATAATAATTAAAAAAATTTTTTTATTTCATAGCAAGGACCCAAAGTGAGTTTTATATAGGAAATATACATATTTAAAACTTCTGAGATCAAATATCTACAGAGGGCTTCTACCAACTACAGTTCGACCAGTGCAGACGTTTCTTTTAAATGTGTCCGGTTTTTATAAATATCATTTCCTCATTTTTATGATTCCTTGCAGAAGGAAATGTTTACCATAAATACCTGAAGACATTTTGCTTTCTTCCGGTACCCAATGGCTACATGCAGACATTTCACAGTAGAATCTCTCAGGGATCTTTCTATGCTTGACCGTCACCGGTTATGTGAGCCAAGGCTCATGAGTGTCACTAGTGGGTGTGAAGGATCAGTAAAACACAAGGGGTATTAAAAGAGATGTGAAAAATAAAAGGGACAATGAGAAGGGGAAGAAAAATAAAATGAGAAATAGAGAAAACTAAGATATTTTTGTAGACACTGATGGCAGGCATAATTACTTCTTTTGGGGACACTACCCAGAGGGAGCTATACAGTGAGGTTAGGGTACAGTCCCCTCTAGCTGGCCAAGCCTGCCAAGGCTCTTGACAACAACCGCAAGTTCAGGGGTTTCCCAAAACCACACTCGGGTTCAATAATTTGCCGGAAAGACTCACAGAACTCACTGAGAGCAATTATATTCAGCGTTACATTTACTGCAGGGAAAAGACACGATTTAGAACCAGCCAAAGGAAGAGACGTGGGGAGGAGTCCATGAGAGTTCCGAACTTGAAGACTCCATCGTCCTCAGGACACGTTATCCTTCTGGCGTTGATGTTTGATGACATGGAGTACTGCCAACCCAGGAAGCTCACCGGAGCTTCCGTGTCCAGTTCTTACTGCGGTTGCATTGCTGATGGGATAACTATAACTAGGTGAAGTCAGTCTCCACAGCTGTGGCCTCCTGGAGTCTGGGCTCAGGGGCCCTTCATGAGTCACTTTGTTAGCATAAATCGTCATACGTGCCCACCCTGAATAACAAAAACCCTCCTATCACTTGGTGAATTCCAAGCATTTAGAGGTTACCAGCTAGGAGCCAAGACAAAGACCAGCAGGCCTTTCTTTGGGTGAGGTCAAATTCCTTACTAACCAGGTATCAAGCAAATTACTAAACCAGAAGTTATCTAAAAGCAAAAATCAGCATCTTGTTTCCTTTTTAAAATAGTGTGTCTAAGTTTTATAGTGAGTGATGTGCTGAAAATCAGCAAAAATTATCCAAGAGCTTCCTCCAGCTACTTTCTTCCCAGAGTAGACCTGTGTGGGTCTGACTGGCAGGGTCTAGGGCCTGGGCCTGCACCACCCCTAAAAGGGAGGCCGGGAAAGCAGGGCTTAGAATGTGGATTTTGTTATCAAAAACCTCCCCAAATAGAAAAATCCAGGCTGAGAAGATTCACTGGTGAATTCTATCAAACATTTAAAGAAGAAATGATGGTAATTTTATGTAAACTCTTCCAGAAAGCAGAAGAGAAAGGAATAATTCCCAACTTGTTTTATGAAGCCAGCATAAACCTAATACAAAAACCTGTCAATCACCAGCTGACAATTCTCATTGATTTCTGCTCATTTCCTTCCTTCTGCCTTCTGTGCATTTATTTTGTTCTTTAATTACTTTTTTGATGAGGGAATTTACAATATTGATTTGAGAACTTTCTTAAGTGTTTAGTGCTATAAATTTCCCTTTTAGTGACATCCCACCCAATCCGTATGCTTTTTTGCTTCTTTTCACCCAATTCAATGTTTTTTTTTTTTTTTTTTTTTGAGACAGAGTCTCACTTTGTTGCCCAGGCTAGAGTGAGTGCCATGGCATCAGCCTAGCTCACAGCAACCTCAAACTCCTGGGCTCAAGCAATTCTCCTGCCTCAGCCGCCCAAGTACCTGGGACTACAGGCATGCACCACCATGCCCAGCTAATTTTTTCTATATATATATTAGTTGGCCAATTAATTTCTTTCTATTTATAGTAGAGACAGGGTTTCGCTTTTGCTCAGGCTGGTTTGGAACTCCTGACCTTGAGCAATGCGCCCGCCTCGGCCTCCCAGAGTGCTAGAATTACAGGCATGAGACACAACACCCGGCCCAATTCAATGTATTTTTAAATTTCTATTGAGAATTTCTCTTTGGCCCATATATTATTTAGAAGTATGTTGTTTAATTTCCAAGTGTCTGGAGATTTTCCTGTTACTTCTTTTCCAGCGTGTATAATTTCAATTCTTTAAAAAGTGCTGCAGTTTGTGTTATGGCCTAGGATATGGTCTGTGTTGGTGAGTGTTCCATGGACACTTGTATTTTGTTCTTGTTGGTTGGAGGGTTCTATAAATGTGAACAGATCCTTTTGGTTAATGGTGATAAATTCTCTTATATCCTTGCTGACTTCCCATCTTCCCAACACCTTCTGCCAGGTGTTGCGAGAGAGAACTGAAATCCCCAGCTGTAACTGTGGATTTGCATATTTCTTCTTTCAGTTCTATCAGTTCTTCCTTCATTCTTCATGTAAACTGCTCTCACCTGGTCCATGCATATTTAGAACTGCCATGTGTTCCTGATGAATTAATCCTTTATATCATTATGTAACATCTCTCTTTGTTGCTGGTGATTTCTTTGCTCTCATGTCTATGTTTTCCTGATATTAAAAAAAGGTACTCATCCCTTTCTAAAAAGATGTTTCTATGAAATATATTTTCCTTCCTTTTATTTTCAACATTCATAGCACATACATATATATTCTTCACACATGTACACATACATACATATATATTTACACAAAATTTTTGAAGTTTCTTGTAGACAGTATATAGTTAGGTTTTTTTTTAAACCCATTCTGCTAAGCTCTTTTAATTGGTGTATTTTGACCTTTTACGTTTAATATTATTGACATATTGTGCTTATGCCTGCCATATTATTTGCTTTCTGTTTGTTCTCTGTTTTCAGTCCTATTTCATTTTCTAGTCTTCCTGTATGTTACGTGAACATTTTTTAGAATTCCATTTATACCAAAAGACAAATAGGCAAAACACAGGAACAGGCACTTCCTAAAAGATGACATACAAAAAGTAAAAAATCATATGAAAAGGTGTTTAACCTTTTGTTAGCCATCAGGAAATGCAAATTGTAATCATGAGATACTACCACACACCTACCAGACTGACAAAATTAAGAGGACCGACAATACCAAGTGTTTTTAAGAATTTGGAGTAATAAAAATTGCCTGCTCTGCTGGTTGAAATGTAAATTGAAGCAAACACTTTGGAAAATCAACTCAGCAATTCTATTTCTAGGCATCTAAATATGTGTAACTCCTACAATTCACATGAATAGACATGTAAAAGATGCTCAAATCAGAAATGTGTAATGGCAAAAATCAAAATTAATGAAAATGTCCACTAGACATTATTGTTGTATATTCCTACAGTATATATATTCATTGCACAGTAGTGAAAACATTTTATGATTCCATTTTTTCTACATTATTGGCTTACTGTGACTCTTTGTTATTTAAGTATTTTTTTATTGTTTAAGGGTTACAATATAATTCTTTAACGTATCACAGTCTACCTTCAAATGGTATTATGCCACTTTGTGTACTGTATAAGGTTTTGGATAGTGTATCTACATCCGTTTTTCTTCTCAAAGACTTTGTGTTGTTGTTGTCATACATCTTACTTTCACAGTTGTCATAAACTCCACACTACATTGTTAAGTTAAAAATCCATACATTTACCTACATAGTAACCAATTTTAGTACTCTTCAGTCTGTTTTATAGGTTGGTACTTCCAGCTGATAGTATTTCTTAATATTATTAGTATTTCCTGAATTACAGAAGGAAAATGAGACAGAGAATGCTGGTGACATATTCTCTCAGATTTTGTGTCTGAAAATGTCAATTTCACTGTGGGCAGGCACAGAATTAGAAGTTGACAGTGTCTTTTTCTTTCAGTACTTTAAAGATACTCCTCCACTGTCTATTCACTGTATTGCTTCCGACATAACATCTGCTGCAATTCTTATTTTTCTTCCTTTGTGTCTTTCTTTCCTGATGTTATTTATTACTGCTTTCGAGCATTTGATTATGATGTGCCTTCGTGTGATTTTCTACATGTTTCTTGCACTTTGGGTTTATTGAGCTTCTTGGATCTGTCGGTTTAAAGTTCTTCATCAAATTTGGAAAAATTTGGCCGCTATTTCTCAAGTATTTTTCTGCTGTCCTTCCCTTTCATGGACTCCAGTTACACATATATTAGGTAGCTTGAAATTGTCCCATAGTTCTCTGATGCTTTCTTCATCTTAAGGTTTTTCTCTTTGTACTTCATTTGTAATAGCTGTGCTTATTTCTATTCTTCAGGTTTACTAATCTTTTATTCTTCGATGTCTACTCTGTTAATTCCACACAATGTAATTTTCATCTCTGGCATCTCCAAAAGTTATACTTGAGTCTTTTTTATATTTTTTGTATTTCTAGTTAAGATGTTCACTCTTTCCTTAGCTTTGTGAAAGCACAGAACAAAATTTTAACTATTTTACTGTGCTTGTCTACTAATTCTGTGTTCTGAGCCAGTTTCAATACATTGATTTTTCTCTTAAAGGCTGCATATTCTTGCTTCTTTGTAATTTTTTTTTATTAAATGCAGGACAATTATGAATTTTAACTTGTTGGATGTTATATATATATTTTTACTCCTGTAAGTATTCTGTAGACTTGTACTGGAACACAGTTAAGTTACTTGTTGTCATGACTCTGGTGGTGAGGCAAGGTTTCCTTGAAGAAGTAATATTTACACTGGGATCGAAAGAATAAGTTCTCACTTAGACAAAGAAAGGGGAAAGAACATTCAAGGCAGAGATAACAGCACTTGTGACAAGTGGTAAATGAAGTGAATTATACAGTTCAAGGTAGATTGGGAATACTAATCTCAAAAGAATGTCTACTAACTCAGGAGCAAAACATTCACAATAAACTGTTAATATGAATTTTATTGTGTGATAGTTTTATTTGCCATTAATTGGAGAATGTGTTTAGTTCTACAGTTATGTCTGAATCAAAAGAAAAGTGAATTATCTACTTTAGAGGTTATATATTTAGAATTAAAACAAAAATAATTTAGGTCAACATGGGGTGTCTATAGCAGTCTCACTAAAGAACGGTATGAATGCTTGAAATGAGTAGTTTTAGTTTACTGCAGTAAGCACAGAGAACACATTTTCAGGAAAGCATACTAGGAGCTATCGGGTTGGAGAATTTCCAATCGGAAATCCCAAAGATTGGCTTGTGTGCACAATGAACTGAGAAAGACAGAGAAAGCGTGGCAAACTGATCTGCACACTACTAAAAGGGTTCACTTTGGTTAGGTATTTCATGATTCAGAGTTCTTTTCATTTTGGAAAAGAATCAGGCAGCTATTTAAATCCAATGTTTCCTGGCAGAGCTGAAGGGTATAACCAGTTCCTACTCAGAGCTGTACCACGACATTGCCTAGGAGAGCTGAGACAAAAATAAAAGAGTGTGTGTGTGTACATATATATATGAGTGTGTACATGTGCATACACAGATGCACACATATGTATATATGTTTATCCTTGATACAGGCAGAAATATTTCCAATTTTTGTTAGTACTAAACACTTTGCATCTCTGGTGAAGGGCTTTCAAATAGCAGCCTGAAACTTGTGAGTAATCAATTAGAAAAAAACCATGAAAACTATAAAAAAGAAACCAGTTGACTTAAAGTGGAAAATAAAGAATTCCAAAGAGCAGTTTAATAAAATTGTATACTTTCATGGCTGTAAAAAACAATTAAATTTCAATCTATATTTTACATTAATTTAGCCCCAAAATAAAAGTTTACAGTTTATCAAATTCATTTCTTTGATAATAATTTATCAAGGCACTACCATGTACTAAGCACCATTCTTGGTGATGAGACTTAAATTTCCTGTTCTCCTGGAACTTACATTCTAGAGAGGCAAAGAGAGACTAAAACAATATAAGTGAAATAAATGTTCGATGACAGTAAGATCAATGGAGGAACACAGAGAGTGTAGGAGGTTGCAATTTTAGCAATCATACAGTTTCCTACATTATTAAAGTGAGTTCAAAAGTGCATCACTTGTTCAATAGGAAAAATTAAAATCTGTTTACAAAATAAACATTACCAAAGATTTAAATTAAATGAACCTATTAATATACTTTAAAAAAGCTTAAGCCACCATTTCCTATCTTTATTATTTTAAAAATTTCTAAGGTTTGTGAAATTGCCATGAAAGAGACAGTCAAGTCCAAAAGAGTTGGGAAGTACTGTTATATTATTATTTCACTTGCCCTGGGCCTTACGTGGCTCATACTCTACACCAGTGGTTCTCACAGGAGAACCAGGAGCCATTTGGCTACTCAGAGTAAGATTTGGCAATGTCTGGAGATATTTTTGGTTGTCCTAACCAGGGATGGTGTTACCGGCATCCAGTGGGCAGAGGCCAGGGATCCTGCTGAACTTCCTACAATCCACAGGACAGAAGAAAGAATTATCTGGCCTGAAATGTCAATAGTGCTGAGGCTGAGAAAGCCTACGTTAGAGACACAGAAATAACAGTGGTAACGTGGATGTTCTCTATCAAAGAAGTACCAATCAGTGCCATGGGATCACAGTGAAAAGCCTGAGTGGGGAGAGGAGAGAAGTGAAAAAGCAGCAGGCCTTTTAAGTTGGCCCGAGGAAGAGGAAAGGAGGAAGACTGAGGGTTATAGAAAGATGGAACAGCAAGAGCAAAGCAGTGGACATGAAAGTGCAGCAGCAGCAGGGATTATTAGCAGGCACCTAATGGGCTGTGGTCAGCCTCTATTTGTATAAAACATTTCAATTTCCATGTATCAAATGTGCTTAAAGCAAAACCACCAAACTACAATGTCACACAGTATCATACTACCTTCTGCAAAACATTTAGGTCAAGACATTGTGATCCAGCTGAAAAAGCACTAACCTAGGCTTTATACCAGACTTCTAGTAAAGTTCACAAGGAAAGGGAGGGTACCTGGGCTAGTCTATGAGGCTCTCTCTATGAATGGGAAAGGTCTAGATGTTCTCTAGTTTTTCAGTATTGCTGTATGATTCTACCCTTAACTCAACTTACTTCCAGAAAAGGGCCAAAATCTTTCATTTTCTTTTCATATATCTTTGTATATACAGTTCCTCTGCCTCAAAAAGTTCCTTCCCTCATGCTTTCTAAAATTCTATTTGGCTTGTTATTTTTAAATTAACAAAAAAAAAGAAAGTAAAACATACAGTGAAATGAAGATCATAAATGTACAATGCCGTTGTTTTTAACCACAACCCCTATCAAGTTATCTTGGTCTTATACACGGCCTCCTCCGGGAAGTCTTCCCTGACCTGTTCCCGACCCAGGATAGGGCCCCCTACTACCCGACTGGACCCGGTACTTCACCAGTAACATCACTGAGCCTGCACCACCTAAAATACAACCCCGCTTGCCCAGTTAAGTTGCCCATGCCACCGTCTATCTAACTTCACACACCACACCTAGCAGGGGACCTGCCTCAGATGTCCTCCACCGCAGGTGCTGAGAGGTGTCAACGGATAAGAAGAAAAACTCTGTAAAATAATTTAAGGAGGTTTATTCTGAGCCAAATTTGAGGACCATGGCCCGGAGCCACGCCCAAGAAACCTTGAGCAAGTGGGCTCGCTGTGGTTGGCTCGCAGCTGGGTTTTATACATTTCGGGGAGACAGGAATTACAGGTAAAGTCTATAAACCAATACATGGAAGGCATAAGCTGGTTTGGGCCAAAAAAGGTGGGACATCTCAAAGCGGAAGCTTACAAGTCATAGGTGGATTCAGGAATTCTTTAGCTGACAATTGGCTGAAAGAGTTAGGCCTTTGTCCAAAAGGCCAGGAATCGGTGGAAAGGAGCGCTCGAGTTAAGGTAAGAGTCTTCCATCCTTCATGGGATGCTATACCGGAAGCAGGTTGGGAGGTAAACCACATCAAAAAAACCGGTTTACTGAGATTTTAGCATTTGCAGGCAAGACTCACCAGGCCCTCTTAGAAAGGAACTTTGGGGGCAAAGCAAGGATCGGGGTTCAGTCCTCCGAGGACTACACCGCCCCGCAGCAGACAGCTGAGCCTGACTTAAGGTTCTCACGCTGCCTCAGCGAACGCCGGGGCAAAGGCGGCAGGACGCAGGCCCGGCCGCTTCCCCTCGGGCGGACGGAGGGAGGCGGCCACGTGCGGCCCGCCGCCACAGCCCGGGACGCGCGCTCAGCACCCACACTCCCCCTCTTAGCTCGGTTCCAGCGCGCCCGCCACCCGCCAGCCACCGCCAACCAAACCCTCCTCCACTACTGTGCTGGACAGAGGTGAGAAACAAAAGACGCGGAAGGGACTCCAAGCCCCGTCAGCAGCGCGAGGCAAGCCCGCCGACGCGCCAGACCCCGCCACTCACCAGCCGCGCGTGCGCAGTCGCCCCGGCGAGCTGCAGGCGGGGCCAGGCAGAGCCGAACTCGCGCAGGCGCAGACCCTCCGGCCGAGGGCGCTTCCGCCAGGGAGCCGGTCTTCCGGAAGCGTCTAGATCCCGCCTTTACAGCCCAGCGGGGTTGACTCCTGCCGGGAATCGTCCCCTCACGTTTTTCTGTTTCATCAGTTGCCTCCAGGAGTGGTGGCAAAAAAAAAAGTTCAAGGTTTTGCTTAGAGATAAATTAAACCCACTGCTTTGTAGTGAGACGTGTAGGTTTCCACAATCAAGTCTTCATTTGTTTGTTTGCAGTGTAGTCAGTCTTAAAATTGAAACGTTGACTTTAAATGTTGACATTAAATTGAAGTTTTGGTAATATTGATAGTATTAGGGGGAAAACCACTTTTAAAACTCGTCTTTCAGAGCCTTCAGTGCTGAGTGCATTGATCAATATGTATCAAAACATCTAGCATTGTAAATATATACTTTTGTATATATTTACAAAAGTATATATTTTTATATATACTTACCTTAATAATTTTAAGGTAAGTATACCTTACCTTAATAATTTTAAAACCTTAACATCTAGCATAGTACCTGGCACATACAGGCACCTATTAAAAGTAAGGTTCCCTTTGGCTAAATCATAAATGATATACAATATTTGTTTTCCATTCCTCAATCTATATTATATTTCTACCTCCCTGCATTTTCTTTACCAACTTCATGATCTTGCTAAGTTTTATATATTCTGCTGAGCAGCTTTAAATCCTATCTGGTATAAGGTGAGGATATAAATGAATTGTTCAGCTGCCAAATGATGCTATTCAGTAAGTAGTTCATGAAACATAACTTTGGACGTACTACAATTTCTAATTTAAGTACTGTTTCCAGTCTGTAATAACCCATGCTTCATTTTCACTTTGTTTTGAGCTGATGACAAGTCTATTAAACCAAATTATTTCAAGACCAGGTGTAACTTGGCAATGGAGCAGGAAGAAAATACATAAAACAAACTAAAAGAAACCAATTAACATGAACAAAGAAACAATAACCAACTTTTATGACTGTTTTTATACAGAGGTAGTGGTTCATACATAAGAGACTGCCTTGGCTTATAATTTAAAATCAAAGTTTATGTAAAAACAAATTAGTTTTGGTCTTAAACATCGTTTTAAGCTTTCAAAGTTTCCATTACTTTGAAAGAATGAAAGACAGTAGTTACCTCCATGTATTTTACAGTAGGCTACTTTTACTATTAAAGTGACCGTAGACATCAGAGTTTAAACCTTTATACCTCCACCACTAGTGCTGATTGCTCAGACAGCATGTAATACATGAAGATTAATATTTCCCTGGTGAAACCTATGCACTGTAATGTAATGGTTTTCAGAAATCATAAAAATTTAAAATATCAAAGGCAAACTGATTCTCATTAAGTAAAATTAACTTGTGTAGTTAAATTGGACCTGAAACATGCTTTCAAATCAATTTCAATTCGGGAATTATTCTTTTTGTATATTCGGCAATGATTTTTTGTTTTCTTTAGAACAAAAGATTTCTACTACTCTTTAGAATGGTGCCAATAAGAAATGAAGTTCACTCTGGAAAGATCTCTTAAAGATAAAATTAAACTCAGTTCTCCTTTTTGAAAAAACAAAAATCACTAATTACCTATAAATACAAAAAACACAGATTCAGGTGTTTTTCTTCCATTGAGTGCTTTATCCCTAAATTACTCAAACTATCCTAAACATGTTGCAAAGGGTGTTCCTTAGAATTCTAGTCCCAAAAGGTACTTTGAGAAAAGACTGTATTAAATATGATGAGGAAAATCAAATCAAGATCTTTTTAAACTTCACAATAGGCATTAATGTATTAAAGCTTTTCACTTCACACACTAAAGAAACTTGGTTTATTTCTCAAACTTATTTGATAATAAATTACAAAAAACTAGTAATAACATGAAACTTGCTTTGGGAATCACTGTTAGTGTTAGAATTTTTTTTTGTAGAAACAATAGGAGCATATTTAGCAGAAATTGAAGTCATTGTTGCTATGGTTTGAACACATCCCCTGCAAAATTCAGGTGTTGCCAGTTTGATAGTACTAAGAGGTGGGGCCTTTAAGAGATGATTAAGCCAAGAGGATTCCTCCTTCAGGAATGAAATCAGCTCCCCTTATTAAGGGGCTGGAGGGAGGGAGTTGGTTCTCTCTTGCTCTTCCAGCTTCCATGATGTGAGGACAGAGCAGGAAAGCCCTCACCAGATGCCTATGTCTTCGTCTTGGACTTCTCAGCATCCAGAAATGTAAGAAATAAATTTCTGTTCTTTATAAATTACCCAGTCTCAGGTATTCTGTTGCAGCAACTCAAGCAGATTAGGATAGCTGACTTAAAGAGATTGATTTTCCCAATTTTAAAAAAAGACAGAGTAAATAGTATGATGAACTCTATCACAATTATCACAGTGGTGATTGTTTAGGGCTTTAAGATCACATTGTGTTGATGTGAAGATGTAACAGTATGTACTTAGAAGTAACTGACTACTAGGTATTAGACTTCATATTAGGATACATTTATATAAGAAGCAAATGTGTTCTCAGAAGTAATCTTTAAATATAATGGAATTTATTGAACATGTACTATTACATTTTCTCCATCATTGTTTTAAAATTTTTCTTTGGGAAGAAGAACAGCATTTATAATCTCAAGATACAGATAACAAACCTGTGGAAACTGATGTAAATCCTAAGTAGCTTAGTTTGGAATGGAATCTAGGTCTCTCTGCCTGTACCTGTACCAGGTAGGTGCTTAGAAAAGACCAACATCTAGGGCAGTGCAGTGGTAAGTAGGTGTACAAATGAAAATTTCCACTACTCAATATATCTTGGGCTTATTACTAAAAGGAATATTTGAAGCCTAACATGGTAAAATAGGCAGAAGTGAACATTATCAAAACTTTAGAACAAAACTGCTAATACTATTATGGGAACAAAAATATTTGGCACAGTCCTCTTTAACCTCCAGTTGCTTCAGTTTTTCATTCATCAGCTCTGGGAAACATCAGCAACTTACCCAGTTCACTCTCATGCTAGATATTAAAAAATAATTTACAGGGAAAGTGCTCAGGAGTTGATTTATGTGCCAGAACTGGGACAGAATGCTGCCAGTAGTGCTGTGTGGAATTTCCCAGCAAAGGATTCTTTCATTAGCTTCACCAAATAAGCTCTTTGTTTCTACTTAGGTTTTAAAAAAAGAGTTAAAGTGAACAGCCATTTGAGATTACATAGAATGCACAAGACCCAATCAGGGATCCTATGTTTAAAAAACAAACGAAACTGTTTATACTCTAATCAATATACCAAAGGCATGACTCACAAGCCACTCTATAAAATGACTATTTTTGGAAAGCACCATTATTTTAAAGATGTCTTTAAAAAAATAACAAATTTGGGATCTCTGAAATCATCCATGACTCCTAAATAACAGATGAGTAACCTGTATCTGTGGTCCCACCCTTAGTAAAGAAAGAGGGGGAACAAGAGTTCAAAATACACTCTACTTAGTTTTCTTTAACAACTTAGTTTTTCTTTACCTACCCTTTGAGTGGAATCCATTCTCAGCATAACCTAAGAAACAACATTATAAATCAAATAATATTCCAAGCATATCAAGTTAAAGATTAATATATTTCAAAATGCATTTTCTTTCTTTAAAAAGGTAACTTTTCACTGTATGTTTACAAGATTTAAAATTGGGCAAAGAGTTAAAGTCTGTCTAGCACACAGCAGAATGGTAATTCTTCTCCTAAAAGGCCAAAAAGAATGGCTCTAACTATTAAAAATATTTACTGCAAATATGCACTGAATCTAATGATTTAACTAATAACACTGAAATTGTTTCTAAGGCTATGGGCTGAGATAAACGTTACAGAATATAAACAAAATTCATATTCTTTCTGAATACTGAGTATTCTATGAGGGTTTCGGGTTATCCCAGAAGGTAATGCAAATCTTGATTTTTATCTGTGTTGATGTCTTTTTTAATTTAAAATGATTTCAGGACTGTGTAATGTCCCCTGTGTCGATCATCTATGATGGGTAATGAACTAGCACCATTTAAAAAAGTTTCATAAAATAGTCTAGCTAAATACCCATGAACAAATCACACATGGTCAAAACAAAAATGTAACAAAAATATTTAGTGAAAAGACATTTTAACTCCCATTTATGGATTTTAAAAATACAAATAAAATTTTATCAACTTGATATTCAACTTGTAACTAGCTCTATACATAGCTGTGATTTATTTCCTAAAATCATACTGCAGCATCCTTTGAAAAATTAAATGCAACTTTATACCTTCATTAATGTTAACAGAGGTAAATATTTAAATAGTACACTCATCCCTGGGCTTCTTAAAAAAAACTAAAAAGCCTTAGTTTAAGTTTAAAATTTTAATATTTATAAATTTAAAAAATTTTACACGTGCTGAGTGGTAGCAGTGCTAACATTTTGTGACCATTAAACCACAAACTCACTGCATAGAGCTTCTTTCTTTGTACACAGAATCAAATCACAATACCAATATTTGCAATCTGTCATAATTTTATGTGGTAAAAGATACCACACTAGGAAGCCTGGGCTCAGAACACACTTGAGGTCAGATCCCCAGTAGGTACATAGTGCAGATGCGGTATTTAATCTCAGGCTAGGCAAATTAGCTACTAGTACATATCTGACAGCTCCTAACAGCTAAGAGGACTAAAAATGTAGACTGACAAGAAGAAAATGACACCTCTCCCACCGCTGGGAAGGCCTAGCAATAGGTGAAGGGCAAACCACAGTGGGTGAGGGGGGGTAAAGATGGTTGGGTTGGTGACATGAGCCTCAAGGGTGTAATGGGCAAGCCACACCTCCCAATTCCTAGGAGGGAATCACCAAAGCCCGCTTAGACCATTCTGGTCTTTGCAAAGACTTCCGCATAGAGCACAAGAGGCCAGAAATCCCATTATTAAGCTTGTATCTTTGCCTGAACCAAATATATTCTTTGGCTAACTATGTCATGAGTTTCTCATTATAATCAATCGGCATACTCGACATTTCTTACATCTAAATTAAAATACATCTAAAGTTCAACTTGAACCATGGCACTTCAAATCAATTTGAGCTTAGCAATATGCCTAATTTGGACAATTTTAGAAAATCAAATTTTAAAGAATTCTTAAATGCAGTGTTTTCAGAACATAGTAATTACCAAGTCAGAGAATATCTACTTACATGTAAAAATAATTTAAACCATTATTATATCCTCAAATCAACTGTTGTTTTGTGGGGAAATTTACAGAAAATTATAATGTTAAACCTCATATTCAAATCAGTTCCTTATTCTCTGGTTTAAAAAAATACCAAGAAGTACTGAGGTTCCTTCTGACTTAAAGGTTAATATTTTATTCAGGAACCAATAATAACAATTACCTGTCAGAGACAGCTAACTTAGTAAAGTCTAATGACAATCACCTCTAACAACAGAGGTGGCAAACAGATAATATTGTAACAGAAAAATAGTATTTTCAGGGTTCAATTGACACTATATACTGGAGACTCAAACTTGAAATCCTTGAAACTGACAGCTAGCTCCCTTCAATACTTGAGGGGTTCACAGAATTATTAACAGAAATGGGAAACATGGTGATATTAGACCTATAAAGACTTGACATTTGTGGTAAAAGAGGAAGTTCAAAGACAGTAAGAGAAGTTTAAATAATGCTGATTGGGGGAAATGATACAGATGCTTGGTGTTGAAATGAAAATTGTGGGAAAAAAAGTAGTAACCATCTCATCTGGGCAGAGTAATGTAATTAGATATACAGCTTACAATGAAATAAGGCTGAATTCTTAAAATTAGTTTGAAAAAAATTGCAAAGTTTGTTTATATAGAACATCACACTTTATACTAGATAAAAACTCAATGCAGTGATGTTAACATGCCACTGTATTCCAACAGAGTAAGAGACAGTCAGGCAGAAAGACCCATATAACTGTGTTGGAAAGGACACTGTCAAATATTGCCAAATAGTTTTGCTACTCAGACAGCCACTGATCCAGCACAAGAATCATAAAAGCAAACCGACCCTTTCAACAGAGCAACAAGAATACAGGTGCTGTTCTGTTAGTTCAAATTGTGAAAGTACAAAGTCTTTAGAGATTGTGCCTTGAGAAACAAATGAGTCAAGGAAAATAAGAAAGAAATAGAACAATGGATGTATGGAAAACTAGAGTTTAAAGGATACTACCGGTATGTGAACAACAGAAATTGTATAAAACACAAAAATCTCAATCAATATTTGACAGTGTCCCTTTAACATATATAAAAAAGGGCACAAATAATGTTTTTGTTTTTAAAAATCTTTTGACAACTTAACAGTCAGTTTTAATAGGAAAAAAATCAATTTACTAGAATTAAGACAATGTTCTTGATACTCACTGGGGCAAGAGCATTAAAACAAAACAAAACTTGTCTGGAAAGTTAATAAACATAGGTAAAGACAAAACTGGACAAAATAAACAAAAGGAGACCCAAACTAAACAAATATCCAATCAGGCAAAAATATACACAAATACCCTGAAGAGGCTGCAATTAAGTGGCATCTCCATTACCTAAAAACTCATAGTCACTCTGGTGATCTGTTAAGTATTATTTGGTCCAATCTGAAGTAAATCTTGTTTTAATTAAAACTGGCCTAACAAAATTGCATGCTCATAATTGTATCTGGGCAAATTTAGCAAATATGTTTCCATCTGGGTAAAAATTATTAAATACAGATAGATGCCTTTTTACTTACCAAGGCATTACTTTCCTATCATCTTTATTTTAAATAATAACTTGATTATAGTTTTGTCATGGCCAGTGGACTGATTCAGTCAGATGCGTGTTTCAGTGCCCGTGATAAAGGCTGTACTTATCACACAGACAGACACACGTATCTCACAGCTACTGAGAATGCTTGGGGGACACAGGAAACACAGAACGCCAGGAACAATGCAAAAGAAATCTGTTAATGCTGCACAACACTTTAAGTTCTTTAAGGAAAAAAATTTCGAAAAATAAATGCATCATTCAAAATATTTTTAAAATACAAAACGTGTATTTCATGAAGAGTGATATTAGTTTTCTTTCTAGCAGTCTTTAAAGACTTATTTTGTTTCCCCTTGTTATTCAATGGTGATCAAATTAAATGTTCCTTAAAAAGTTATGGCCCTAGGCCCTGCATTTACTCACATCTAACGCCACGTGCACAGGTTGGATGTAATTTAGATGCTCTGATTTTGTTAACTATAACTTAATAACACAAGTCACTCAAAGTTTTGCACAGCAACACAGGTGAAGATGTATATACTGTATGCGATTCAGGTTTAAAACTGTATTCGCAGCATGGTGCAGCAGAACACAGCGAGAGCAGAGTTTCAGAGCATCCCTGTGCCAGAGCCCTCACCTGTCACCGTGTTGGCGTGAGTCTGTTATTGCAGTGGGCAGAGTTTCACATGTCTGCAGTTTATAAATTAGCTTTCACTTCCACTATTTAAGCTGGCACACAGAATTAGGGGAGTATGGCAGCAGTATAAAAGTCCTGATTAGAAAGATCAAACTAGAGGATCCTAAAGTGAATTTTTTAATCTCTGAAATTAAATTCACGTGGCTCCCGTGACATGAAGATGACATCCACTCTAGCATAATTATTGCCCCTAGTGCCCCAACGTGCAATAGTCTGTGTGAATCTGTAATTCACATCCTTTAAAATTGTTTATTGCTTAAGTAAGCCATTCAGAGTAGATATGGTCTATGTGGCTGGAAAGAAACACACTCAAAAAGTTAGACTGCACAGGAATGAGCTTTTCATTCCTCTCATAAACCTACATAAATACACGACCAAATGGGCAACAGGTTCATAGCAGCTAACACCCTAAACCAACTCTGAAGCATCAAGATTTGATTTCTCACTCAAACAAATCTGTTCCTTTTTTGTATTTTCCTCTTAAAATTAAGGCAATGAAATGGCTACAGTTCCTAAAGTTATTTTTATGGAACAAAAATATACACATATTTCCCTCCTCAAGTTCAGGCATCAGAGTATGATTAGAGACTTGTATACATAAAACCTGCAACACTAGGTTGATATGAATGAGAGAGAGAGAGGGAGAGAGGGAGGAAGGGAGAGGGAGAGGCAGAACACTAAGAAAAAGCCAATAAACCCCTGGTGATGTTGTTTCTTCCTGCTGAATTATAAATGTAATCATCAGAGAAGAAAAGCTAGAAAGCATAAAAGCTCCTAAGACTTTTCAATGTCTCTTGTGTTGATGCAAAACGTTTGGGGTGATGGAAGGGAGCAGCTTATTAAAATGAAGACTCCAGGGTCCAACAACTAGAAACTCTGACTCTGAAGGTCTACAGTTGGGCCTAGGACTCTACCTTTTCAATCAGCTCCTCAGGTGATGCAGGTGATCTATGGACAACATTTCAAGAAACATTGCCTAGCATATATCCACCTAATATTTAATGACAAAAATTCTAAACTTTGGCTAGCCACCTATGTTTTGATAAAAGGGGGAAAGGCACTGAATATGTATTTCATGGTGCCCATATCTGCACATATATATGGAATATCATTTTGAAAATTTTAAATCACCATTCAAAACAAAGGAGACATACATATGACAGACTGTGGCTAACACTAACAGCTGACTCAAAGTTGGTTGGCCTCTCCTGTTTCACTGTATTATATATCGAAGTTTCAGGCTCTCCAAAATCTAAAATGGCCAAATGAACTGAGGAACAGGACAAGACTCAAGTCAACTTTCAGCAATTCAGTGCACTTTGCAGAAAGGATCTAAATTAAGCATAAAGTTTTGTTGTTTATTTTACACAAAGGAGACCACCAACATTTGCCATAAATTCTTCTAAACTCTTCAGGAAGGCCATCTTCTGCTTCCGATCCAGCGTAGGAGGAGTGCTACTTGCAGTGAGCTTGTTGAAGGCATCTGCTAATCTCTGGTAAATAACAGGGTCTTGTTGACTTGACAGTAATGTTTCGACTAGTTCGGAATATTCAGCCTGGTGACGAGATAAGGTATATGTAAGAATATATCTTCTACAGACCATCACACAAGTAGATAGCATTGGTTATCGGATTGTGGGGTTCTGAAAGACAGAGGCTGATGACTCTTTTTAAGAGTTAACATTTACTAAATGTTTATTTCAGGTACTACAGTTCTCAACTTTTACATGAATTCATTCATTTATCGAGTATTATAATGCTATGAGACAGGTACTGTTTATATTCCCGTTTTAGAGAGGAAGGGTTTGACATTCGGTGCGGTGAAGCGGTACGTCCAAGATCACACCACCTGGAAACCAGGGTCCAGGCAGTTTGGCTCCAGGATGCATGTGATTGTTAACTTTGTTGTGTTGCCTCTTCTGTGTTTTCAAAGCACACTATTCACTTTATTTCGCATTCTATACATAACCTAAGTCTAGAGCATGGCTTTCGATAGTTCCCCAAAGGTTTCTAGGAACATCCTGTCCACTTTGTTCTGAGGACAGCAGGTGCCCACAGGACAGGTGGGAGCGGTCTGGGAGGAGGAAGGGAAGAGTGTATTTCAGCGCTTTCTTGACGTAGAGGAGGAGCACTCGGAAAGCTCCAAGCCAGGACCACACTCTACTTGGAGAAAGGGCAGGAAAAGGACTTTAATAAATAACGTAACATGGGGATGGAGATTTCTATTTTTAATACCCTCTGCCATAAAGCCTCACACAGGGGAGGGGGAGTGGGTGTGGGTGTAAGGGAAACTCAACCGGAACAGAGATAAACTCTCTTGAAAAAAACCTGGTCTGCCGTTTAGTTTCTTGGGATATCATGATAGACCAAAAGGGTGAAACCAAATGTTAGTTATAATCGGAAAAGAGGAGTAGGGTGCAGCATCCCAACTCCTGACCCTCAATCATGGAGCCAGGGTGGCTGCCCTAACTGCCCCATCCAAGGGACAGGCTGCTCACAAGAACCAAGGATAATCTCCCATCATTTCCCTACTCACAAGCAATGGCAGTGCCTGTGGGGCCAGGCCAGCAGAGTTCATCACGCTGGCCATTCCCAAGACCCAGTTCTCTCTTCTACAGTATGTAAGTACGTTATGACAAAAAGGAAAAAAAGGCAATCAGAATGTAATGGTTTAAACATGTGGGGACAAGAAGCCTACCTTCTTAGTAAGCAACAAGGAAGTCAAATGACAGAGAAAGGCCACAGGAGTGTGTGTACCATCTGCAGAAGTGGCTGCCTCTAGCAGAAAGCAAGACATGAAATGCCAGAGCACCGCAGCTCAGGGCACGGAAGGTACAGGAAGTCTGTAGGAAGGGGGTCTTCAAGTAGTATGGAAGACCTCCTCAAAACTCTGTCTTTTTTGAAAGGGAAATGAAATACCAAAGCTTCTGTAGCCAATTGCTTGGCCATGCTGACAGGTGTACATATGCATGGGGGAGGGAAACTGAGGTAGCAAAGATCCAATAATGGTTCTTCTAAGATATTTGACAGGAGCCAATTCTATCAGAATAGGGGAAACAGGTGGGCTCTTCTGTTACAGTAACCCTGTTATCAGTGATTCTGTGATGCCTCAGGAGTCTTTAAAAGATCAACAAAATGAAATATGCTGTTTTCTATAATATAATATGAAATAATATACTGTCTTCCATGCTTTCTGAAGGCAGACTCCTCCTGGTCCTCAATCTTAATCATGTTGTCTCTCTTACAAAACCGTGAGTTCCACAAGGACAGAAACCAAGTACCCATTATTCACTCATGTTTGCGTTACTGGTTCTTAGCACAGTTGTCCAAGGACAACCTTTGGGGCAGTGTTCTTTGGAAAAGATGCCTCATAATGGTGGAGGAGGGAAAACAAATGCTTTTGAACTGACAAACAGCTGTCAGATATAAACAAAATAAAAAGTTAGAGCTAATAAAGAATCTAAGAAATACTGCCTCACTGAAATAGAACTGAAGCACTGAGTCACAGAGCCTGTGAGAACTGGGGTATTAATGACCATTAATGTCCCACCATCTCTGAACAGTCTCTTTGCAAAATGGAATGAGAAGAATCCCCTGAAGAGAGGTGTGTCCAGTACCTGGTGCAAACACACCAATGTGTAGAAAGCTTCGCCGGCCGCAGTGGTCATCTCTGTGTTGTGCTTTTGCAAAACCAGCATATCAAAAACCAGCTGAAATTACACAATAAGACTTCTAAATAAAAATATGGAATGATCATTTAATTCTTTAGCCCTTCCCCAGTCCAAAAAAGAAAAAAACAGGGTTGGTAGTTACTCTATTTATTAAATCAATACAAACATTAAAGAAAAATATTTTTTTAAATCCAAGGATAACCTAACAGTTATAGTTATTTGCTGTGGTATCTGAATAATCAAATTATCAAATTCCCCATTATATTTACCATATCAATTTTCAAGAACACAAAATAAAAACGGATAAGAATGTGTCCATGAAGAGTTATTCTCCAGAAAAAAACAGAGAATAGAAATTATTTCCTTCTCTATGAAAAAATGAAAGCATTTCATCTGAATGCAGAATTATGTGCACTGACTGTACTTAAAGTAGATGATTTTTCAGCCTACGACCCAAACATCTTACCTTAAGAAAGTGCCGTGTTGCTAGAAAAAGTGGTGAATCTGTTTCCTGTGCTTTTGCACACTGTTCAGCTAACGGTGTCAAGGCCTCCAGGCAAAGCTGGCAAACCTCCGAACTCATTCTGATCACCAAGGTCAAAGAGCAAACTGAATTGGATATACTTGACTTATAAAAGATCAAAAAAGTATAGCTAGTATCAAATGGATGACTGTTTCTAGAAATGAAAACAGATACATGAGTAGATTTGTATACAATTTATCTTTACTGAGTTGTGTAAGGAAAAAGATGTCCAGTGGTTTTTCAGAAGACCTATAAAAATTTTGGGTTTGGGACTGGTGATTTGTACCTTGTTTCTACTTATGATGCACACAACTGATGAAAAGTCATACAATTACCTACTCTCAGGGAGCTAAAACCAGACCCAGCACCAGCATATGACATTACTAATTGGGGCCCTAAAGAAAAAGTGACTTTGAGGCCAGGGGCCAAATGCCTCAGGGATCTGTGAAAGGATGACAGGACGAGGCAAACTCAAAACAGAAACACAGAATTAGAGCAGTTATGGAGATGACAGCTTTTTGAAGAAATAAAGGTGAACCACAAAAGAAAAAAGTACAAATTTAAAAAACTTTTCTTTAAGATCTCTTCCCACAACACAAGTGACAATGATGTTCATTTAAAGGATACGATGTCATTCCTAATTCTAGGGAGTACATCAGACTTTTGAACAGATCCTCAGGAAGCTGCGGTATTTTTTCAGGAAAAATCTCACAGATAAATGTGATTAATTTGTAGTATTGATTACAAAGAGTTGGAAACTGAAAAAGAAATGTTAATATTTAGATGTTCAATAGTATCTAATTTTTATGTTTATTAATGTAATAAAGTAACGGACAGACTTCTAAGTATAATGATTAACACATGCACAAGATGTAGAAAATATGAAGACCCAATTAAATGTAAAAAATAAGTTACAATAAAGGGCATATTTTAGTAACTACTCTGAAAGAAGGTAATATACAGCAGGAACGATGATCTTCTGGATGGTTAATAAAAGCCACAGTTGAGTCTAGATATTCTATGTTCACTTTGAAAAAATAAGCAAGTCAGCCAAATCTAAAATTATTAAATGACTTGGGAATAAAAACCCTTTTGTACATGTATTTATTACCATTCAAGCATGCTGGGAAAATATGAGGTGGCAATACACACTGTTAAGACCAAGCACAGGGCAGAGTATTCAGCTTTTTACACTTCCAAAGGCTATTTTCTAGTTAGATAGTCCTGGAGACCTGAATTAAAGGTAGGTAATCTGGTTTAACCACACTTAAGAAAAAAACATAACTAAATGTTTAATTTATTTAATCAAACAAACCCTAAAGTCAAATCAATACACAGAGCATGCGCACGGGCTCTGTCATCAGCGCTGTTTTGATGGGGACAGCGGGAGAGGGAGACATTGCCCAAGGAGGGAGGCAGGCGGCTCCTGTGCTGGGGATCTAACAGCTCTCGCGCTTCCCACACTCGCCTCCCCGCGGTCCGCAGCCTCCACTCTTCCTTCCTACTGCCTCTCCCCTGCCCGCTTTACCTCACGCATGCGCGCGCGCACACACACACGCACACACACACACACACACACACACACACCCTCCCACCCCTCTTCCTCTGCATCCATGTCCTTGTCCCCACCCTTATCCCCCTATGACCACTTGCGACAAGAAACCTCCCCTCCTCTATGGTACTTAGGGAGGAGGGAAACGGCAGCCTCACCACCACCCCCTTGGTACTGACTGGAGAAAGCAAGGCACAGCGTAGTCGGAATGTGTAAAAATTGGTAAAACCGCTTTAGTCTTGGTTTCTTAGCATCCCATTTCTACCTAGAGTGGGGCCTGGAAAATGCCTTCCTTTGCTCAATCCCTAAGCCTGAGAACAATGCTCACAAGGTATCAGAGGAACACACCTAAACATGTAACTTTCATTCTCTTAATGACAAATCATAAGGGCCTTGAAACTGCTAACACAGCTCAGTTGCTAAAAGGACAGATTGTTTTCTGTAGCCCTCCCTGACAAAATGAGTTACTGACATATCCTGTGGGGCAGAAACATAGAATTAAGTGACGGTCTATGCTACTAAAAGCATGCACAAGAAACTGTAAGAGAAACACAAAAAGCTTATTTTCATGTGCACTTAACAGATACAACTCCTTAATTAAATCAGAGATATATTCTTGTCTGAAATATCTTTGAACTTCGAGCATATATAGTTATAATGTTCACATTCGCTTTCTGTAATTACCTTCAGAAGATCTTGTGACATCAAGGGCAGAATTAGATTTACTCCATATAAAACTACATCCGCTGCTGATACGGATCTGTTTGCTGTTTGACCCGGCTCATGTCCTCTAAACACTTCATCTAGTAAAATAAAAATATTGCAGTCTTAAGGTTGTAATGTCAACAAATTACCAAAGTTTATATACTACCCTTATGAAAATAAAAATAAATTTGAGCCCTAAAGCTGCCCTAAATAAATCAATGAGAGGATAAGAAAGAAATCTGGTAACTCTGTGTCATCCTTTTGTATTTTGTTAGGGGATTTGAGTACTCACTGTAGCAGTATTATGGAGGGTGAAGGCAAGGGACAGTATAGAAATAAAACTAAAGCTTAATCAATGTTTTGAAACATAAAATCTATTCTACTCAGGTTCTAGCCATACTGAGTTAAATAAAAATTCCTGTGTTAGTATCTGTTTGATCCCTTAAGTGTGTGAAATATTTCTAAATTTTAAAGGAATGGGGGAAATGTAGAAATTAAAATGTTATATAAAAAATAGTTAAGAAAAAGAACAACCAATATGACAAAGGGTTACTATTCTTAATACATATAAACTAAAAAGAATGCTAAGACCTAAATAGATAAGTAACACCTATAAGCAAATATTTAATAAGTCTTCAATGAAAAACAATTCATTGTATTAATCAAGCAATGAAAATTTTAAAAAGATACTGCTGAGCAATAAATTAAGATCCTTTTGAGCACTGTATCTACTAAACCTATAATCAGAAATTCAGAATTGTCCACAGAAATGATCAATGTATCACCATTTGTAACAGCAAAAATATAAATATTCCAGATGTCTAATATTACGAAAACAGATTAAATTCCAAAATTGGGACTATCACATAGCCATTAAAAATGTCATGAAAAATGGTAATGACAAGGAAAAGGTTAACACTACATTAATCAAAAAGGCAGAATATAAAATTGTATTTAGAGGATGATCACAAATAGAAATAACCAAAAACAAAACTCCCAAAATGCAATGGATTGTTGATGCTGGATGGTGTAGAAAAGTATAGGTGATTTTTCTTCACTATGCTTAAAATATTTTCTATTAGGAGCATATTTCTTTTATAACAAAAGGATAAAATGGGTTCTTCTACTTAAAGACCACCTTTTCAGCCTAATTCTAACCATCTCCCTAGTAGTCTCAGTTTGAAAGAATCCCATTTTCCAAAGCAGGGGTCAGCAACTGTAGTCTGAACATCAGACTGGTAAACTTGGATGGCATCCAAGGGCCCCCTGCCCTGGCACGGAAGGCAGGTCCCGGAGCCTGCTCCGGCTGACCTGTCATCAGCTTTGCAGACTTGGCTCTCCAGCCATGTGCTCTGCTAAGGAGGGAGGAATACAGCTCAGAGTACCACATTAGAGAGTAATGTCATGCTAATTTCTTGTTACGCTTTTAATATCTCACCTAGTATATTAATTTTGCTTTATAATCTTTAAAATATTTTATATTTTATCTCAGCTATTATCTTTATTTTAAATATAATATCTTCCTATTTATCAGCTAATGCTATTTCTTTATAATTTCCTACTTTGTCTTCATTTTCATTTCTTCTAAATTTAAATTCTATATCCCCTTACCCTTATTTTGTTCTGTCTACCACGAGTATTTTAGTGTCAATTTCTTAACCTTTTATTGTGATTTTAATCTTTTTACTGCCTTTTTTAAAAATATGAAGTGGGGGAGTAAGGAGAGGGGTTCCGTTTACTTTTTTTATTTTTATTTTTGAGTCAAAGTCTCACTCTGTCATCCTGGGTAGAATGTAGTCGCATCATGACAGCTCACTGCAACCTCCAACTCTTAGGATCCTCCTGCCTAAGCCTCCTAAGTAGCTGGGACTGTAGGTGTGCACCAGGATGCCTAATTTTTCTATTTTTAATAGAGACAGGGTCTCTCTTGATCAGGCTGGTCTTGAATACCTGAGCTCAAGTGATCCTCCCGCCTCAGCCTCCCAAAGTGCTAAGATTACAGCCATGGGCCACTATACCCAGCCCTTTTTACTGCTTTGATTTTGAAAATCTCTCCCTCAATTGCTTAGCTTTATTGTCTGCTCTATAATTTGTTCTTAGACTGACAGGAGGAAGTACAGCTGTACCATAAACCCGAGAGATTCTCTTCCAAATGCCTTTAACAGCTCTCCTAGTCCTTTTAATCTAAGTGATTCAAAATATAGCACCCTTATTAATCCTAGAAGATTCTCACTCAAGTCAAAAACATTTGCAAAAAACTAACAGCTACCCCTTTACTGGGGTACAAGTCCCACTGGATCCAGGGTAAACAGTACAGAAAGTACGCTACACAAAGCAAAGCTCGGGAAGGCTGCACTAGGGGAGGAGCCTCCATCCAGACTGCGAAGAGGAAACAAGGAGGCAGTCTTCATGTCCTAAAGAGGCCTTCAATGTAGGAAGAAGGGAGACTCTATAAACTGGCCTGAGACCCCTCATACTGTCTCTAAATGTTAACTTTTGTTATACTCTCTCTTTGTAAAAGGATTTTGGAATACTCTGAAAATGTAACTGCCCTCTCTCCTTTCTTTTGTTATAAGCTGGCCGGTGCTGGGATCTATTGTAGTACTTAAGTAGGTAGGAAACATAATGGAATTTTTATTTTAGGAAATTATTCTGAGCATAGCACATAGTATCATCTTCCAGATCTGGCAGTATATCAGAAGCATCTAGGAAACTTTGTTAAAATAGAGATTTCTAGAGTTAGTAGGTCTGAGTGTTTTAGGCATAGAACAAAGACCCAAGAAAATGATGATACTATTTCTAGAAATGAGAAATTGGAAACAATGAGCTGATTTACGATACACTAGGGTAAAGTGACAGTTAATCTACTAAATGCACATTATGTTTTGGCTCTGGGTCTTCTCACTGAGTCACACATTCCTTTGAGTACATGTTTCTTAACCTGGGGTCCTGACATGCCTGAAAAGTCTGTAGAAGAGTTTCTGAGAGTCCATGAACCAATTAATACCATTTGTGAAATTCCGTGGGATGGCATAATGTACACTTTTCAAGGGAAAGACACACATGAACTAGAAAAGGTTAAGAACTCCTGGATTAAGAAGCATGATCCAAAAGAATTAAGAGACATGAGAATGGCATTTCAATGAGAGGATGGGACTGAAAACGGACTAAAAACAATTCACTAGTGGCAAGTTTGGACAGCGCTTTTCAAAGCATTTCACCTTGTTATCCCTAGTTAACTGCAAAGGAAAGTGAACCTTCTAGACTATGAAGTTGATGGAGCCTAGCACAGGGCAGACATTGAAAAAGCCATGGTTCAGTGAATAAGGAAAATGAAGCAATAAAGGAAAGAAAAAAAGAACAATCTCAAGGATTGGGAATAATACATAAAGTGGGATATTACAGCACCCAGCCTACAAAGGAGAATCTTGCAAGGAAGAAGTAAAAACTGTCCGTTACTACAAATATCTGCACAATGTACACTAGGAGATGCTAGATATGACTGTTTTTCTCTTACAAAAAAGGATCTATTTTATTTGAAGGCAAGGTTGGCAGTGGGGTAAGAGGGAAGTGAAGGAGTACTATATAGCATTAAAACTATACAAATAAATTAGGTCTTAATTACTGGTTAGGCTCTTGCCTATAACTACAGCTATCTTTTACCTACTGACTGCCAGGAACAGTGCTAGGCACCAAAGACACTTTATAGCTGATCTTTAAAACATTTGCAAAGGTATTTATTATCACACCATTTTACCTGTTAGCAAAGGCACCAGCAGCTAACTGACCCCCTACCCCAGGCTGCTCATGAGCCACTAGGGCTGGGTCTTCCGAGTGCGGCCCGTCAAGGGAGGGGCCAGAGCTCCCCACCCCACCAGCCCTCCGCAGCTGTACTCAGGAAAGGGCCAGGGTTTGCTGGGGTGGCCACCTGTGATAATCTGGAGGAGTCATCTGGAGTCACGTGCGAGGATTTGAATCCCAGTCCTCCCACTTACTGGCAAGTATCTGTGGGCAAGTGACTTAAGCTCTCTGTGCTTGTTTCCTCACCCATAATATGAGAATAACAATGACATCTACTTTATGCCATCGTGAGGAGCACAGTGCTTAGCATTTAGTAATGGAATTACTGTTACTCCTGTAAGAGGAAACCTAAGCAGAACTGTCCCTATCCTCCTTCAACCAAACAGATCTTCTTTCACTTGTTTTGTAAACTAAACTTCCTCAAGAGATTTCACTTAAAGCAATCCTTTGCTTTAATAAAAATGACAATAACAATAACAACAAAGATTAAAAACCACCACAGTACACTTTACCTGTGTCACTGAAATCTATGAATTCTTTTGACAGAAGATTAGTAAGAAGTTCCATAATGAGAAGTAGGTCTTGGTATTGCTCTTCTTCCGCTGTAACATCTATTCTTTGCCGCCCTAAATTATTCTTAGAATATACTTGCAACAAAGTAAGGCAGGCTTCATATAAGTTCATAGCTTTGGACTGTAAGAAAATATGCATAAATTATGCTACTTGGTAGAATCCAGTTGGGAAACAAATACAGATATTAAAGAAATTTTAAAATATCTAGGGAAATTTACTCTGAATTCCCCTAGTTTCATACTTGTTTTAAGCTATATGAAAACATTAACAATGATTTTAAAAAAGCATAAGGGTACAGTTATGTTTAAAATATTAGCCCTTTTTTACCAATAAATTTTAGGACAAGAATTCATATTCATTCAATATGACTTTCTCTGAATTATGAGTTCTTTGTAGAAGTCTTTTTGAAAAATCTTTTGGAAGAGCAAAAATATTATTTCAGATAATACTGATAAAATTTGAAGAAAGAGTCTATTATTTTATTATTGCCTTAAGGAGTTTTAATCCTGAAGGGATCAGAAGTGCTTACCTCTCCAAGATAACATATCTGTTTATGTGCAACTTCAACAAAAACTTCTATAATGAGATTGACAGTCTCTGGGGTATTTTTGTAAACTTCCATCAACCCAATGCAATTGGTAAGAAAGTCCATTAAAAAATTGAAAAGGATTGCTACGTTATCGATCTGGGTGGCCTCGGCAATGCCACACAGCGCCTCCAGTGTGGCGGTGATTTCCTGCTTGACTTCTTCTTGCTGACACATCTGCTGAAAGTTTTCTTGGTTTATCACTCTTAAGAATCGCTGCTGAAGTGGCTGAAGGACCTATAAAAGTAAAGCATGAATTCTCTAAAAGTTCAATTCACATGATTTATCTCCTCAACTTGGACAAATATTCACTTTTCAAAACATTTCTAATTATTGGGGGCAGGAAAAGCAGAGAAAACAAAGAATATCTGAACCACACATTACATTCCTCATTTCATGGTCATCATAACTTTTGGCACATGTAAAGAAATTACACACCAGTCAGGGAACATGACTTTCTTAAAGCCATTTATAGAATTCTGCCACTTGCCACTTCCTTCCATCTCTTTCTAAGTGATTAATCAAAAAAAGTGGGGGTGGGAGGAGATAAGAAATTAAGCCTTCACAGTAGGGGGGTCAACAAACTTTTTCTTATAAAAAGCCAAAGAGTAAATATTTTAGACTTTGCAAATTAAATTATCTCTGGACAAACTACTAGACTGCAACTGCACTTTAGTACGGACGAAGCCATATACAAGAAGCAAACGATCAAGCATGATCGTGTTTCGATAAAACTTTATTTACAAAGACAGACAGCAGGCCACATTTGGCCCATAGGCTGCAGTATACCAACCTCTGCTCTACAGGGTCAAGACTAACACAAAGCTCTCAGCTGTTTTTATCTTTTTCCCAAACTTCTCCTGGCATAAAACATAACTTCAGATCATCTACTCTGCCCTGTATATAACGGTGAGTGCTCATAAGGATAGTATCTTCTTCCTTTCCTTCCTTTTCTTTCTTTCTCTCTTTCTTTCTTTCTCTTTTTCCTTCCTTCCTTTCATCTATTTATTTATAGACAAGGTCTTACTTTGTCATCCAGGTTGGAGTGCAGTGGTGCCATCATAGTTCACTGCAACATTGAACTCCTGGGCTCAAGTGATCCTCCTACCTTAGCCTCTCAAGTAGCTGGGACTATAGGTGCACATCACCATGCATAGCTAACTTTTTATTTTTTTTTAGAGATGAAGTCTTGCTATGTTGCCCAGGCTGGTCTTGAATTCTTAGCCTCAAGTGATCCTCCCACCTTGGCTTCCCAAGGTGCCAGGATCACAGGTGTGAGCCAGCATACTTGGCCTTAATTCTATTCAAAGCTGTCCATATGATCATATAGTTATTTAAAGTAAGAATATACAGCCTGGTTTCTCCTGGTTCTGAAGTCACAAATGATTGCCTAATTCTGTTACTATGCCCCTTCTCAAACATTAAGAGTATTCTAGACAGAAGGACTATAGGCTGCCAGCCTACTCATATACTGGTAACTCTTGATTCCTGATTTAAAGCTTATAATATAATGTGTACGTGGTGGCTCTTCTGGGTTGAGTTATGTCCCCCCAAAATTCATAAAATTTGAACCCCTAGCACCTCAGAATGTGATCTTAATTGAAAACAGGGTTGCTGTAGATGTGATTAGTTAAGATGAAGTCATATAGGAATCAGGTGGATCCCTCATCCAATATAACTGGTGTCTTATAAAAAGAGGAATTTTGGGTGCAGACCCCTATGGCAGAACACCACCACATGAACACGAAGGTTCAGGGTGACGCACTTACAAATTAAGGAATGTCAAAGATTGTCAATATACCCCCAGAAGCTACAAATTTCCCCTCACTGCCCTCAGAAGGAACTAATCTTGCTGAAACCTTATCTTGGACTTTTAGCCTCCAGAAGTGGGTAACAATAAATTTGCACCATTTAAGTTATCATGTTTGTGGTATTTTGTTACAGCAGCCATAGGAAACAAATACAGTGTTTAGTCTGCACGTCCATGTTTAAGACAGGGGAATGTTTCACTGATTCTTACTGAAGATTTAATAAGAGTGGGGGAAAGTGTGCCTAAAGTGCACAACACGTTATAATATTTAATGTCATCACATAAGCAGGTATGGACAAATCCTAAGATAATATTTGTAAAATAAGAAGCTTTAATCTATTCATTAGGAGGAAAAAATATCAGAAAAGCTATAACTGAAATGTTTATGTCTGTCTCCACAGACTATCTCATGGCACCACACAAATAAAGCAGCTACAGGATTACACAGAGGACCCAATCGAAATAGGAGACACTGTTACCTCTGTCCAATACTGTTGTTTCGTTTCTGTGTCCATATGTGCGAAACCTCCTAAGACTAGAGCCTTCATCAGTGTTCTCTGCACGGGACTTGACAAGAAATTAAGAGGTGGGCTTCGGCTTGCAAACTGTTTAGCTAAGTTCCACCAGTTTTCACACTGAATTACTAAGTTTGCCCTACAGGAAGAAATAAAAAAACATAAGACATATTACTGTTATTATACATACCCACTAAGGAAACAAAAAGTGAAAATAACTATATTTAATTAATTTTTAAAGCATAGTACAGTAAACTCAGTATAGACTTGGGAGTCACACAGGCTTGCATTTAAATCCCACTATGGTCTGACAATACAAAATTCATTTAATTTCTCTTAATCATCAGTTTTCTATAATCTGCAAAATGTGGATAACAAGAGTAATACCAACAGCCCTAAATCTCATGGCTGAGACTGATATAATGATTAAATGAGATACTACATATCAAGTACTTAGCATTGTATAAGGATTTAATAAATAGTAGCCAATTGATAATAGTAATAACAATAATGACATCCCTATATAGTAATAAAAATGAAAACATTTCCAGAATTTGTTGTAGAAATCACTAAAAATTTTAATTCGCAACATTAGAGTTTAAATATCATATTTCCCCATCTTTAAAATGAGGATAATACTAACAGGCTGTCTGAAAAATCAAATGAACATATTCCATATGGAAGTGTTTTTAAAATTATGTTAATATATTACTAAATAAGACTTATGTGTTACTCATACAGTTCTTCCATGCCAGATCGTTGACTAGTCAATGCAATCCTCACTTATAACACGGGAAAGCCCCATCTGCATCTCTAACAGTAGTGAGATATAGTTTTAAAAACACACTACTCCCAAAATGTAGGCTTGATTTGGAATGAGGCCTGCGTAACTGTCTGCCAGTCAGAGACAACACTAGAGAGCAGTCCCCGCCCCCAGCCCCCACACAGCCTGCCTCCAGCAAGGGGCTCACCTTTCCCTTCTTTCCACCAAAGTCACAAGGAGCTGCACAGTGTCATTTGCCAGGTCCTGCTCACTGCTCCAGACCGAGAGGTTACTGATGACTTTTTGTAAGAGGTAGCCAATAATCCACTGAGAACCCTCCGTATCTGCTCCAAATGCTGTACTGAATGGCAGACTTATCTTAAAAGAGAAAGCATATTTTTTAAGGTCAGAGAGAGAGAGAGATCAATTGAAAAAAAATCAAACTGAAATTAGCATCTAAATCTAAGTAGTGCTTACTTCACATCAATTTCATAAATGTATTCATCTTCATAAATCCAAAAAGAGATCCCTCAATCCACTCACATTTTCCAATGTTGTCATTTTCTGGTCAATTTTCATTATTTTCATATTATTAACACACTAATGTAATATTTAAACCAAATATAAAGAACATAAATTAATCTAGTCCCAAATAATAATCTGTACCTCTACATGTGGTTAAAATAAACTTAATCAAACGATGTGCTCTAAGAAAAGCTATTAAAACAGCATTCCATTCAACAGTTCTGTTCAACGTGGAAGATGTTAAACTGCTCTTAAAGCAGTTACATTTTGATGAAAAAAGTCAGCACGAAAAATGTTCCTGCTTCTATAATTGCCATCAACATGAATCCAAATGAAGTTTAACAGTTTTACATTCTGACCTGATCATATAGTTTTTCATCCACCAGAAGATAAGTCTTTGCCCAGCGTTTTAAAAACCAAACAATATCTTTGCCCATTTGGGGGCTTAGTAGATGTGTGAGATCTGCTCTTATTGCACGAGATTCAACTTCTGAAACTCTCAGAATGGCAGATAACAGCCTGTAGGTATAAAACAAAAGTAATTTATTCTTTTATTTATTTAGTGGTTGTCTAACCATATTTTTTTTTCCTTAAAAGTCCATTTTTGTTTTTCAACTCTGGATTTAAGCCAAGCTATATTTGAAAATTTCATCAACAGAGTTGTAGACAAAGTCCCATATTATTTCTGGTCTTTCAGGAAGAAGGACACAAGACAAAGAAAAGGAAGAGAATCAAAACTAAAGACATCCTTCTGTTGAAGTGTAATTGCATATGTGAATCTCAGCATTACTGTCTAAAGAGAATTTTCAGATTGAAAATGCAGAAATACATCAAAGTAAACACTCAGAGTACATGCCAAGTTCTTCCAGCACTCCATCACTGCTTAAATCTCCCCTGGTTAGTCCAGTTTGTGTTTTTACATCATGGTCATGTTATGGTATGAGATCTGGGAACTGATTTATCTAGAATGTTTTCAATATTGAGCCTTGTCTCTAAATCTGAATCCTACTTATCTTCTAATAAACTTGATTCTTAATGGTATTTTATAATAAAAATCTTGCTAGAAAGATTACCTACGCAAGTACACATACCGCCCTTTCCTACATTACACGGTGTGTCAATGGCAGCATGACACGTGGACAAGCACCGTGTTTCTGTCGGCAGGGAGGCACATAATCAGAAGCAATAAATATTTAATATGACTTTAGCCAAAAGGCAAGGAAGCAAAGGATACAATAGAAAGATCGCATTATAACACTATCTAGTGAGTATCACTAGCAGGACAGCGAAATCACTAACATCTGGCTTCTGCTCCTTTCCTCAGCACTCTCCAGAAGACAGAAACAAGCTCCTCGCAATGAAAGGGCACAGACACATTTCCGGTCTTTATCCTCCTGGATGGCTCAGAAGCACGTGGCCGGCTGACCACTCTGCCCTGTCCTCCCTTCAGCCCCTGGCACGTGTGCCCGAGCTGCTGTCTGCGGCTTCCCTGACTGGGAAGTCAGGAGGTTTGGCAGGTTCTACCTCAGAACCTCTTCTTTCACTCTCCACATACTCCTTATACCACCAGGGCTCAAACTTTTAAAATTTATTTTAGGAGGTATGTAAACAACAACAAAAAACCCCAACAACATCCCAGTACATTTAAGTTATAAATGTATCAAATTTCCCCCTAAGTTTAGTTTTAAATATCATTTCTAACCTAACAGAATTTGAAATAAAATGGCTACATTAACACTTTAATTACATGTGCTTGAATTCAATTATCATGGTGTTCTGATATCTACCATAATCCATTCGAAACATAAAACAAATGTTTTTTATTTCATTTCTCATAGAACATGAGCCTAATATAATTTTATGCTCCATTATTTTATTGATCATACTACATACCCTGATACAAACATCTACACATTAAAAGATAACTATTTTTAAATTTCCAATAATGAAAAGACTAAGTGTTTAAAAATCTCTTCTAGATTGAGTTATTATTATAATACTTAAAAATACACAATAGAGCAAAAACAAATTTAAATAAATTATTAAACAAAATTGTATGCATTTCAATGAGATGAATATAGTAGGGTTTTTTGTCTTTCCCACTAGTTCATACATCTTTGAATAAATATTACCTATTGTCAGATGAGCCAGAGTTGAACATAATTTGATTCCTATTTTTTATTATAATAGATGTAAGCACTAAGAAAACTGAGTTACTTAAATAAACAGAAGATATTTTTTAAATAGCAGGGTCACCCAAATGTTTGAATTTCTTTCAAGTTATATGCCAAAACTCACAGAGATCTACCATCAAAAATTATTTTTAATAATCTCTTAGCCAATAACTATATTAGGCCTTCATGTTATTTAATGCAAAGGCCTGAACCCTCCTGGCAGTGCACTCACTGGTGCCCTGCTGGTATTCACTCTGTCAACACCACACTATTTGGAACTGCCCCTTAGTCCACAGGGTTTTTATACACCTGCCAGTCCACAGTCAGACGCAGAAGGAGTGAGCTTTGGCCTTCCTTTCCTAAAGTGGGAGAAAGGTTAATGCAGAGCCCGACAGACCCAGAGGACTTTCTTCCACCTCAGAAACGCCTCTCACACCCACGAGCCTCTCTCCATCTTCCCTCCGAGACTGCTAATGAAAATACTTCCTAGTCTGCCTTACCATCCTTTAAACTGATCTTCCGTGGAATAACAGCTCTTCAGCAATTTGATCAGTTCACTTCACTCCCATGCCACCAGCCCCATGCACGCCCCCCCACACGCCAACCTCGGCTATGCCCTCCGCCCACGGCCACGCACCTGCCACACCTGACTTCCTCTCACTTAGAACCTCACTTGTAATTTGCTGCCCATGCTACTGTCCCTGTCTGACACACTCTGCGCCTTTTTCCCTATTTTTTGCAAATTTCTACTCATTCTTCAGGTATCAGTTTAAATGCCATCTCTTCCAAGAAGCCCCCTCGCTGGCCCTCCTCTGCAAGTGGATTAGGTGGACCTGGGTGCTCCTCTACCACTCTATCACACTTCTGCTGTATCCTCAGATCCTGGCACAAAGAGGAGTTGAAGATACACCCTATAAAAACGTCAAAATATGTTTTAATTGTTGATATTCCAAGATTAATACCCAATCATACATTCTATTTCACTTTTTTTTTTTTTGAGACAGAGTCTCGCTTTGTTGTCCAGGCTAGAGTGAGTGCCATGGCATCAGCCTAGCTCACAGCAATCTCGAACTCCTGGGCTCAAGTGATCCTCCTGTATCAGCCTCCCAAGTAGCTGGGACTACAGGCACATGCCACCATGCCCAGCCAATTATTTATTTATTTGTTTATATATATATAAATATATTATATTTTAGTTTTCCTGCTAATTTCTTTCTATTTTTTTAGTAGAGATGGGGTCTCACTCTTGTTCAGACAGGTCTCGAACTCCTGAGCTTAATAATCTGCCCCCCTCGGCCTCCCAGGGTGCTAGGATTACAGGCCTGAGAGATGCCACGCCCAGCCCTACTTCACTTTCTTAAGCATGCTATATAAAAATACTTCATATTCCAGACAACATCACAGTTGGTCATATTTTCCAAATCAATCCTTGATTACATTTGCATCTCATAAACCAGAAGCCAGCACAATAACTCAAACAGAGCTTTCTCTACCTTTTCACAACCTCCAGCAATATTGCCCTGGTCTGGACACCATCACCTTTCTCTGGATTACCGCAATTCGCCGCCTCACGGTTTCCCTGCCTCCATCACTTACTCACATCGAAGCAGTCTTTTTAACTTGTAAGTTACTCTTCTGCTCTGAACCCTACCATAGCACCCCACTTCATGCGGAGCTAAAGCCAAGGATGTTACTAAGGCCTAAGACCTTATTTGATTTCCTTCTATTTTCCTAATTTCATCTCCTACAAAATTCCACCTAACCCACCCTGACCCACCACAGCATTCTTGCTGTTCTTGAACATGCCAGGCATGCACAGGGCCTTTGCATCCACTGTTTACTCTGCGTGGACAGAGTTTCCCAGACACCTTCATGACCTCCCTTACCAACCTCAAGTCTCTGCTCACAAGTCACCTTCTAAATAAAGCCTACACTGATCACACCGTTGACAACTATTAATACAACAATCCCTAGAGTCTGCTCATGATGGTCTGACCCTGTTTGGCTTTTCACCCCCAGCACTTGCTATCCTGTAACATACCGCATCGTTTACTTACTAGCTCTGTCTCCCTTATAAGGAACTCTAAAAGGGTAGTGATTTTTGTCTGTTTTGCTCACTGATAAATCCCAAACACCTAGAAGAGAGCCTGGTAAACAGTAAGTACTCAATAATTATTTGTTAAATGATACTTTCTTCAAGAAATGTGAACTACCTTTTTAGTCAAACAAGGAATTAAATTTCATCTTAATTCTCTGGATTAAAAAAATGGTGATTTTTTTTTCCAGGGAAGGGGAGGGTCTATCCCTCCATAGTCTGTGCTCTCAGATACCAAAATGTCTTGCTTCCATACTGACACCTGGGACTGACAAAAATTGAAAAAGCACTTAAAATACATGGAAAGCATTCCTGATAATACTGCCCAGGTTGGAAGTATAACAAAGAATATATAATATGACAGCACCCTGAAATGAACTGCCTTTAACTTAACATTCATCACGAACCAAACAAAAGCAATGATTCCGTACACTAAATCTAATGACTACGGTAATCCCCAAAGGAAGATAAAAACAAAACTTTTTCAATAAAGTTTTGATATTTTATTTCAAGCAAGAGAATGCAACAAAGGAATAAAATTCTCAAACATTTCCTTGATACCATCTTAATATTAATATTACAACTTTAAAAAAATCATATTTTCTATTGTATAGGTTTAAATGATATCCATATATTTTTGCATTAAAAAAAGAATGAAAGGGACAGCACCCTGTTTAAGTTACTGATTTTGCAAATGACAAAAACCAATGTTATTATCATTACTGACATCTCTGCCTACAATCTAAATTTATAGATACTGAAATTGAAAATGCTACTTTCAATCCACTTTTAGGAGCACATTTAGTCCAGGTTTAGCCCTCCCTACTTTCACCACTGAGAATTAATGAAGATTTTGCCATCAGCCTTAGGAAGATTAATATGAATGCTCTCGTTTGAGGCACTCCGCTGTCCGACAGGTCTCTTATGTCTCACATATTCAGGATAAATACTTCCATTTTGTGAGATACAGATTATAGTTCTCTTTAAGAAAGCCACTAAAATGTGGCTTTAGCTTTTATGAACAGTAAATACTTGTTAATGTTCACCTAGTTTCCTTATTCAGGGCACCTATACACGCGTCAGTTCTGCTTTCTGATGGACAAGCGTTATGTTCCTAGTACATTAGATCAAATGTCCCTTCCAAGTCTCATTGTATTCATAATAATTTTATATTTGCATTCTTCAGTACTGGATATAGCTGTCAATTCTCACTAAAGTGGCATGGCTAAATATACTGAACACTTGCCATCCTTATGTATTTCAAGGCTTTTCCAAGTTGTCTTTTTTTCATATATTCGATTTACAACACGCCTATCACTCCAGTCATCTACCCATCAACTCAGAATTTATAAAACAGTATAAATTACAAGAGCACAGCTATAGAGTTCATATTACCTAATCACAGAATCTGTTCTGTTGTACCCTGGGATGGAAGAAGCCTTTTCTCCTGGAGATCCCAAAATTTGAAGTGTTGTATTAATGTCAACTTCAGATGAATGCTTAATGGAATATTCCATTATTTCTGGAGGTATTAGCGGAGTCTCTCCCTGAGTATCATCAGCTAAGAGGTAGCCTTTAGTTTAAAAAAAATTAAAAATGAACACTTAACAAATCTACATTTATCAAATTGTACTATAAATGTTTTCAGTTTTATTTGATTTATATACATCATATAAATTGATGTAAAAGTAAATTATAAATGTTAACCTGTTAATTTCAAGTTGATAAGAAACTTTCTATTTCTCAGATAAGTAACCCTCAAAAATACAGAAAAGGACAAATGTTTTATTCATCAAGTTTATAATTCATAGGGAAATACGCTTTTTAATCTACTACCTTTTAATTATTTTCAGTAATATATTCTGTAAAGTTAATAGGAATTCTGCTATTATCTATATCAGAAATCTATATTGGGGAATGCCTTTCCAAAGGCAAGATTTTTTTTTCCTGATTATTTAAAATACACAAACACTAAGAGTATGGTGGTTAAGGAAGAAGACTCAAAAGTCAGACTGCCTAGATCGACATTCTGTATTGAAAAATTAACAGCAGTGTGACTGACTATGGGCTAGTTTCTTATATTCCCTAAGTCTCAGCTTTTTCATCTATTAGATGGGGATAATGATGATGGTGATGATAGTAGTAACAACACCTAACAGAACTCTGTGGGCTACAAAAAGATCCATATAAAACACCTGGTGTGCAGTAGGCACTGCATAAATCTTAGCCAGTATTTTTTAAAAATGCATCCATAGCTCTATAACAGACAACAGCTATATCCAAATTTCATCCGATACTATATATGAACTGTTGTTTTTAATATTTAAAGCTTCTTTTAAGGTTTTAACTCCTCCGTTGGCAATTACTTTTAAGAAGAAACCAACCAACCTGTAACTAAAATAAGCCAGTGAATATCTTCATAGAGATCATCAAGCATTTTGTTATCAATAGTGCTTGACCCAGGTGAAGCAAGTAGTTGTTGCTGATGTCGTTGTAACTGACCATGGAGTCTTGTTACTCTTTCTTCTAATAAACTAAAAGAGGAAAAAAATAATAGCTTCATAAATAAAGTTCAATAAGCAAAGACCTCGAACAACATAAACTTCTACATATTAGACAACATAAATTGTTAACACAAAAACACATATAAAAACATTATTGTACACAACTGTTCTCATAGAACTATAGAAATTATGATTTATTGTATATGACATAGAATTAAAACATTGCTTTACACACAATCAAGGTTTACAACAGGCATTTGAAAACTGGTTATTCCAAGTTTTTACTGATACGGGTCAAATCATTTCTCATACCATGTTTTCCATAATCTCTCTGCCATCTATGCTGTAGTGCCTGGGCTCCAAATGTATAAGCCAAGGAATGCAATCATGAGTATGTTTCTGTCCATTTGTTCCAGTGTGCTGGGATACGGGGTAGGGGTGTTTAAAGTCTTTAAACACTTTAAGTGCTCTCCAGGGAATTGTGAACAGAGAGTATTTGCTCCATGGGGTTTCTTTGGACTGTGTGTACCTTGTCAGAAGAGGTATACAGTGTTCTGCAGCAATTCTTCCTAGCATTCCTACACTGGCTAGTTGATCAGAAAACTGGTCTCGATCATCCTCTTGAAGTTCACTTATTTCTTCTTCCTCCCGAGAGGCCACACCATTGGCAGTCTATCAAAGAGGAAAGAAATAAACAATGAGAAACTGCATTACCTGTTCAATAAAACATGAATTTCTGTGGCACACTACAAAATAGCTTCAGCACTGCATATGAAAAAGAGAGCTGGGCAGAGGCAGAGCCAAGCTTCGAGTGCAGCTATCTAGGAGCTCATTTCTAACTATGACAGCCCTGGTGATTATCAAAAGAAGTGGGAAACACAGAAGAGAAGGAAGCAGAGGTCTTGCCCCATGGTGCACATGGGAAACAGCTAACTGCACACCCACAATCCGTCTCCCACACTGGAGAATTTAACCTGTCACTGAAAAGACCTGACATCTTTAGGATCCATGGTCCAAGTCCTTCATATTCTCTTGCCAACTAGAAAGACAAGCGGTGGGTAACTGAAAACTAAGAAGGAGGTAACTATAAGCAACATACCACATAACAAGAACTCATTTAGACAATGAGGACTCTAAGTGAGACCATCCTAAATTTCTAGTATTATATAATATGATGAAGTACAGCCTATAATGAAATAGATTTTTAATTACTATCCAACTTAAAACTTACCAAATTCCTTGTGCCATCTGGAGCTGCTAGGTGGCACTGAATATAGGAATTGAAAACTTGAACTGCATGTTGGGTAAAAAAGCCTTTATGGAAATGTTTGTCATCTTGGACCAAAGTTAGCCAGGACTCCAGCAATTTATCATATGCTTCCATGTATACCATGTCATCTTTATCAAGCTAAAAGAAAAGAACATTCATAAAACAAATATCCAGAAAACTAAAATGGGCATTATAACAAGTCACATGGCTACTCATAGAAATAGTTTTCTAAGTTTTTCCTTTAACAAAGGTTCCCTATTATTATTTTCTATTAAACTTCTAAAATCTTTCTAACATCAATCTAAATAATTCTTAGGCAATCGCAATTTTTTTTTTGGAGACAGAGTCTCACTCTGCTGCCCGGGCTAGAGTGCCGTGGCATTAGCCTAGCTCACGGCAACATCAAACTCCTGGGCTCAAGCGATCCTCCTGCCTCAGCTTCCTGAGTGGCTGGGACTACAGGCACATACCACTACACCCAGCTAGTTTTTTCTATTTTTAGTAGAGATGGAGTCTCACTCTTACTCAGGCTGGTCTCAAACCCCTGAGTTCAAGCAGTCCTCCCACCTCAGCCTCCCAGAGTGCTAGGATTACAGGCAACAGCCACCACACCCAGCCTCAGCAATCTGAAATAATGTTTATTTGTAAAAGTAGCTGTTCATTGTTTTGTGGAACATGTATTTTTCAAATGAAAATAACGTTAACATTTTTCTGCAGTGAAAAAGACACTTATTCAGAACAAAAAGATAAAATATGTACATCCTTGGGGAGAACAGATGCTCCTTAATAAATGATAACTCATTTTACAATAAAAAAGAAAATTCCGTACAGTAGAAAAGTATTGACTGTCTTCAAAAAATTTAATATCCACTGACTCAATTCATAATACATACCAAGTGTCCTTTCCTTAGAGAAAAATCAAAAGTTTATTAAAGCACAAACCCTTTATGAATGTAGAAATGAATACCTATCTCTTTTTTTATTAGTTATTTTTTTCTTACAAAGAAACATGTGGAAAACTTAGAAGAAAGGACAAGTAAATAAGAAGTGTAGGGAAAGCCAGGTCTTTCCTTGCCCAAGGCTCTACCTAAATTCGGCCTCTCTGTGAGCATATAGGTGATAGCCATATCTGTACATGACCCCATTAACAAGACCACTGTGCTACACACGCACTTCAGTATAGGATTAGCAAAATTATTTAGCTTGTTATTCTTAATTTTCCTTCTTCCTCATCTATCTTGTTCATTTAGCTGCTATGACTGAATTAAAGTTTTACACCAAAACTAAACCACTGAGGAATAAGGGATAAATTCTTGGAGAAAAAGGCAAGAAATAGGATGTACATCGCCAAGCTATTTGACAGAGTTATTTGTAGCCCAAAATCTCCCTGAATGGAGCTGACATTTTCCTAAAAGGTTATTCTACTTTAAAAAGCTGCAAAGGCTAGGGGGCAGGAATGAGCTTGGCACATTCACACCACAGAGAATGCCACTGTACCTGGAGCTGAGTGACAGGTCCTCCTGACATAACGAGGGGTGAGGATGGGGGGTGGCAGGTGAGGACCAGAGCATCAAAGAGGGCCTCGCCAGGCTGTGACTAGGATGCTGGGTTTTCTTCTAATTGCAGCAAGAAGCCCCTGCGATACCTGAAGCATAGGTGATACCACATGATATGGCTCTTTAAAAGAAAATCACATGGCTTGCACTTTCAAGTATGGGTGGCATGGGATGGGGGGGCGTGTTGCCAAGCAGCCTAATCGTGTGCTGATTTGGAGGAAGAGCTAACAGGAAACTGATGGGACTGCAAGTATGACCTGAGGAGAGAGAGAAAGCAAGGGCGGCACTTGGATTCTTATCCTGAGCAACTGGGAAGAAGGCAGTCTATTTCCTAAAATGCAGAAGACCAAGGTGCAGAGGGTGGAATGTGAGATGACATGCATGGGGACAAGAAAGCTTCTCTTTGGGACATGCTAAGTTTGAGGTGCAAATTAGGAATCCAAGTAGGAATGTTCAAAAAACCGATGTACATCTGGGGTTTAGGGAAGAGGTCAAGGGTGGAAATACAAATCTGGGCATCATCAACATAAAGATATCTAAGTATTTATTTTTAAAGTTGCAAAACCAAAAGTATTCACCTAGAAAGAAGGTGTTGATAAAGAATAAGGATGAAGACAGGGCCCACACATGAACCCAGGGAAGGTGCTGAGCTGAAGGAGAGTGTGGTGTCACAGAAGCCAAACTGCACAGAGAGACACTGGGCGAGCCAAGCAGATAGCAGCAATAGAGTGTGAAGGGAAAGTAACAATCACATTGGCTCGGATGTTAAGTTAATTTAGGACGACCTAAATTAATTCCAAGGTAGATTCTATATGTAGTCTGATTAATCTCCTCACTCTCTAATACAAGCCGTTTTTCCTAATTTTGCCATTAATTACTAATCTGGATACATAATTTAATCTATCAATGTCTTTATCTATAAATTCACTCCGTCACATTACTCATCAGGGAAACTCCAAGTATTTAGGATGTGTCGTGCACTATGCTTAGTTCAAAGACATAAATAATGTACCACTCATGCTTCTGAGCTCATTCCAATGGGGAAGAATGAGAAGCAAACAAAAAATTCCAGAAAACACATTAAGGGCCATAAGAGAAAGCATACACTTCAGGGTCCATTTTCCATGGTGGTATCTATCATAAGTAATCGCTTACAAATAAAGTAGCAGAGTTTTTGAACTATGTATTCACTCTGAAAAGGGTTTTGTGCACCCCACAATCACTGATATTCTGTTAATAATAAATCCAAGAATACTAGAGGTCTACAGAAACCATTTACAACTTGTTTTCTGGTTTCTAAAGCAAACAGACAGACCCAAATCCTGCAAAATACAGAACTTTGGAACCTTCATCAGAGAGCACCATCTCAAACTGTTATTCTACCAATCTGTCAATGACTCCACAAAGAAAAGTGATAGAAGAGCTACACTGAGCTGGATCACCAGAATAGTAGCAGATCACAATATCTAAACACCTAGGTGACCTGTGCTCATCGAATGGTGCTTTCTCAGACCTTCAGTTTTTATGAACCAACGATATAACCCCCCCCCAAAAAAAAACAGTCATAATCTGGGTCCAATGGACCTTTAAGGGGCAGTAAAAAGACTTATTAGATAATTCTAATAAGAATTTAAACATAGCAAATGAACTTTTTCCATATATTCTTAGCCTTGTAACTATATATACTAAAAATGGGCAACAGTTTTTTAATGCAGCTAACCAGAAACATATTCATCTTGTATATACAGTCAATTTTTGTTGTCTGTGGTAGTTATGTTCTGTAAGTTGCCATAAATACTGAACTAGTAAATTCTCAACCACTGCTCCTAGGGGAAAAACAGGGTTAGACTGCGGACCCCTGGTCACATTTTTCACATGTACCCATGAATCAATGAATACATAACCTTGTTTCATGTGTGTTTCTGTTTAAAGATGCGTTATTTGACATACACTGTTGAGCCGTTAGCATTGAATTCATGACCGACAGCACCATACTCATGCCTGAGAAAGCGTCTGACACACATACTTCCACCATGGGGCATGTCACAGCCTTCCTGTCATTAGCAATGATGGACAGCACTTTAGCACTACACTTGGGGAACATTTTAAACAGTGAAGTCAACCAGTCAGTCACTGCACAGAAAAAACTTCAATAACTTGTGGCAAGACTTTGGAACACTCCATTTAGCACAAAAATGTCCTTAAAAATGTATCGTTTGCTCATGCAATTGTTGACTTTGAGAAAATTTATCTATGACATCACCAGCTAAGACTCAGCATGAGATTTCACCTACAGTGTCAATTTTACCATCATTGTTAGAGCCTACGGTATTGCTGTCTCTGCATTCATCCCCTGATTCGTTTAATCACTATATGTCTTATTCTGTCAATTTCCTTCTCTTTGTTTTTATGGGCAGAGAATGGAAAATTCTGAATTCTAAATATTGACTAATAATATTTAAAAAAAGAAAAAGACCTAAAAGATGTTATCTCCAGGCTTCTTTTTTAGCTTATTGAAAGATCATGCCATACCTTTTAGAAATTCAATTAGAAAACTGAAAAATAAACAGTTGTTGTTTATTTCACTTGCCAGTGATTTACTTCATTATTATCCTTCCAGGTGATTCCACCATTCTTCTATTTTCTTATTATTTTAGTCTTTTCTAAATTATAGGTGGGAATAATCGATGAGTAATGGTGAAATACTTCCTAAGATGATGAAATAACAAGATGCTTCAAGATAAGAAGAAAACAGATCACTATGATTCCATAGTGTATTTTATATGTATGAGTCCAGTGTATCTGTAAGCTAATTATAAGAAAGAATGAGTTTTATTCTATTTTGTTTAAAATAAATGTCCTTTTTGTTCTAAGATCGGTAAGAAAAAATAAAAGGCATAAAAACAAGTCAATGTTCATTAACAGAACAATACAGAAAAAGTCAAAAACTAGCCCCTGAGGAGTAAGGAATGCTATAAGGAACAGCCAAATAAAATCTGTTCAAGCATCATCTGTTGCCATTGGGTTGAGGATTCCGTATTATTTACTGTCTCCTATAAGAAGCTTTGTTTGCAAGAGATATTTTTCTATTTTTATTTTACTTATATAAAAATTCCTCTGGGAAGCAGGTGCACTTCCTCTTTTTGCATGAGAGCCTATTAAGGAACTGTATTTTCCTTCCCACATCAAGACCTTCAAATCCATATCTGAAAATCAAACTTATTATTATCCATAAATAAACTTATATCCTGTATATCAGCGCTGTTCTTTTCTCTAGTCTTCACTTTCTACTCTGACTTAATCCTTATTCTCTTTTGCAATCTTTAAAAGATTCATTTTAAATGTTCTTTTTACAAGCCACCAAAAATATTGTATGCAACAAAGATGGTTAGCAAAAACTAAAGTCATCGCTAATATTGTTTCACTGCTATGCCCATTTACTTTTCTTCCTTCTTTCTAGGATACAGCAACTCTTCCATGGCCTGCCCGATTCATGGAAGAGCACATATGAAGAGTGGCTTATGTGGAATATGATACCATAAGGAAGAGTTCATCAAAATTGAAGCTTACTTCCTTAAGGAT